AAGGGATTGTGCTACTTAACATGAGTTATTGCTCTCAGGTGCATTTATTAAAGCCACTGGTGTAACTAGGAGGAAAGAAAGCAAGGACTTGTCAGCCCCATGTTCTCTGTTAACTGTGCTCTCAGGTGCTGTCTGATATGGACGAGTTCAAAAACTTGGACAGTGACATTGAAGGTTCTGCTAAGCGGTGGAAAAAGTTTGTGGAATCTGAGACCCCTGAGAAGGAAGTATTTCCAAAGGAGTGGAAGAACAAGACAGCCCTGCAAAAGCTGTGCATGATGCGATGTATGAGGCCAGACCGCATGACCTACGCAGTCAAGTATGTGCTGCACTCTTCCTACAGCTTGGGACTGCTGTACAGGGAACGGCCATTTGGGACATAGCACTTTCTGAAAAACTCACACAAAAACTTTGTATGGCCAGAGGGCAGAAAACCCGCTTTTGCGGCATGGCTGTTCAGCACATGGACAAAGCCGACAGGAGAAGCTGTGCCACATTTCATGATACATGGTTCTAGTAACATTTCCCTTCATATTGTTATTCGCACCTTTCATTTTCTTGCTCCACTTCAGTCCTTGTACAAACTTCATTCTTGTTCTTTACATGTGAACTATGCTGCAGGGTTGGGAATGGGGAATGTTCAGTTTGTATCTCCCCCCCCCCAATAATTTTTTAAAAAGAAACTAATCACACAACCCATAGGTTTAAGGGCCAAAATGTTCACCAGAGCCAATTCAATCCCCTGTATGTTTTTTTATTTCCCTCAGGAACTTCGTGGAGGAGAAAATGGGGAGTAAATTTGTTGAAGGCCGAAGTGTTGAATTTTCCAAATCCTATGAAGAGAGCAGCCAGTCAACACCCATATTCTTCATTCTCTCTCCTGGAGTTGATCCCCTGAAGGATGTTGAAGCCTTAGGTGAGTTGGGAGAGCCTTTCCAGTAAGTGTGCCCTATAACAGCGCACACAGCAAAAGCTTTAAAAGAACAACAGACATTTTAAAAATTCCACTCAATTTTAATAACTCTCTTAGGTCAAAAGCTTGGCTTCACCATAGACAATGGGAAAATCCACAATGTGTCTCTAGGACAAGGACAGGAAGTTGTGGCAGAACATGCTCTGGATGTGGCTGCGGTAGAAGGACACTGGGTCATTCTTCAGGTATTTCAATTCCAGCAACGTTTCCTGCCGATTACTTCTTACACTGTACTTCTAGTGTACTTCTTACACTAGACAGCTTTGTCTAGTGTACTTCACTTCTTCCATGCCTCCCTAGCACTCATGATTTAAGTAAATTATCTGACAGCAAATGAAAATAGCTTTTAATAATCATTTCTGGAACTGCAAACTCTGTAATCCAGTCCATAAATAATCCAGTGTAAAAAAAAAAATTCCCTGGCATATGCCGGATGTCCATTGATAGGATTAGACATATACTGGGCTGTTGGAACAATGCTGGCACTGCCCAAGGTATCTAGGTGCCGGCATGAAGAAATTGCAAGCAGCTGTGGGCAAATGATCCTGTTGCAGCCTTTGTGTGGAAACACAGCTTCAGAGAAGTCTGTACCTTGCAAGCAGACCCTTTCTCTTTCCTCCGCTGAAGTATTTGAGAAGGTAGGGGCATTCTCAGTGTGAAGGCTGCAGTGGAGCCTCCCTCTCCCATTCCATTCCACCCCCAAACTGGTGCCCAGTTGATATTATTGCCTTAGATGCTAAGGACCATATGTCTATTGCTTATGCTAAAAAAGATCCAGGCCTTGAGGGGAAATTGAGTAGAGTGAGGTCAAGAATTTTGCTGATGCCCAGACAATTTGTCACTCTTCCAGGTCCCTCCAACTTGAGACTGGTGTTGCATGTGTAAGGAAGGAGTACTCATACTAGGGGACATGTACATGGCACAGACTCCCTCAGGAGGCCATGGACTCGCCTTCCTTGGAGGTTTTTAAGCAGAGGTTGGATGGCCATCTATCATGGATGCTTTAATTGAGATTCCCGATTCCAACTCTGCAATTCTGTGATTCTATAAAATGAGTGCAGGCGTCTTTATGCCTAAAAAGTCGATGAAACAGCAGAGAATGTATATCCATTCTAGAACATGACATGAATGAGGGCAGGATGCTGAGCATTTTGTCTTCCTGAAGTTCTAGGATGGAACCATTTATATTAATGTACTATGGCTAGGTGATGTCAGTTCCTTGGGATGGGGAGGGTGGAGACAGTTTAGAATAGCATTCCATTCACATTACAGGACTTCTGGTTGCCACTAAAGGCGGCCCTGGAGGGAGAATGCAGTCCATCCTCATTGGCAGCAACTAACATGTCCCTTATATACCCTACAGAACATCCATCTGGTAGCCAAGTGGCTGGGAACACTGGATAAAAAGGTTGAACGATATAGCATAGGGAGCCATGACGATTACAGAGTATACATGAGCGCTGAGCCTGCTCCCTCTCCAGATTCCCATATTATCCCTCAGGGACTCCTGGAAAATGCCATTAAAATCACCAATGAGCCTCCAACAGGCATGCATGCCAACTTACACAAAGCCCTGGATCTTTTTACTCAGGTAAGCAGGACCTGCTGTTCCATTTGTTTGGACTCTGTATTCAGCCACAGTCCAAGATTAGCACTGAAGTTGGTTTTTCCTGTCTTTCGGGCAATGCAAACAGTGCTTTCGATAAGAAAAGGACCTCTTCCTCCTACTTTGGGATGGCTTCTCATTTCTGTTGTTTGACTTCCAACAGCCGGAGATACTTTGTGCAAAAGTACAGCCCTTTTTTTTCTTTTTCTCCTTTAGGATACCCTAGAAATGTGCACCAAAGAAATTGAATTCAAGTGCATTCTTTTTGCCCTCTGCTATTTCCATGCAGTGGTGGCAGAACGGCGGAAATTTGGAGCTCAAGGATGGAATAGGTCTTACCCATTTAACAATGGAGATCTCACTATTTCCATCAATGTACTGTATAACTATCTGGAAGCCAATGTGAAGGTAAAGATTTGGTAACTTGTGAGTTGCATAGAAGAGAAACTGTGTAAGTAGTAGTCAGTGGTCCCTTGTTTTCCAAGGGTCTGATCAAAGCACTGCCTGCTTTGGGAAATGGAGAGTTGCTGTTTGGATTTACTATTATTTAATTAGGAAAAAGGTGTACTGCAGGATCTTGGTGCAGAGAAGCATTGAACCGAAAAGCTTGTGTTTTGTGGGCAGGGTATGCTCATTTTTTGGCATCTGTGCACCTGGAGACTTTGTCACCGTGAGTTCTGCTTCCAGGGCAGAATGCACTTTTCAACTTGGGACAGCAATAATTTGAGGAGCTACAGACTGATCTGAATGGAGCTCCTACATCTGGAAACTCACAAACTCTACCTGTTACAATAACACCTAGCATGTAACACATGCTACATGAATAGAATGAAGACCATTTTATTAGCCCAGTCAAACTCTATTGCAGAATGCGAAGATCAAATACGGCCTCCTCAGTTCCAAAGTATTCTTCTGCCTTCACAGGCCATGATGGGAAAAGCAATTCAGCATTCCCCCAGGATTGTCCCCTGCTGGCTAACCAGCACTTGTCTGTGCTTTAAATCATTTTGTCTCATTTCCCAAGATTTTTCACTGCACTTATGGGACCAAATGTGCCCCTTAATAGACTAGTGATGAAAGCATGTTTTCTGAAAAGAACTTTGGTTGCGGCAAAAAGCCCAAATACCTTTATATATGTGAGTAGAATGTTGGTGGTGTTCCCCCAAATTTTGCTTTTCCCCCCTCCGTGGGATCTTTTCCTAGGTTCCCTGGGACGACCTGCGGTATCTCTTTGGGGAGATCATGTATGGGGGACACATCACCGATGACTGGGACCGCAGATTATGCCGGACTTACCTGGGTGAATACATCCGTATGGAGATGCTGGAGGGAGAAATGCTGCTAGCACCAGGTTTCCTTATACCACCTAACTCCGATTATAAGGTGAGAGAGGGAGGGGTGGGGAGTTGCTCCAACAACACACTATTCTGACAATCCTTCATCTGGGGAAGTAAATGGTAGCCATAGGTGCAAATGCTATTTGCCACAAAAGAAACAATAGCAAGGTCTAGAGAGAAAGGACAGCAGCTACAGAAATAGTTTTACACCTCAGCACAGGGAACTTGGCAAAATATTTCAGAGGACCACGAGAAACAGCATTATACTTGTGGACAAGTTGGATAAAAGTCCCAGGGGAAACAGCTAGATCAACCAGCAAGACAGTGCTTGTTATGAGCATATAGTTTACTGGAAGCTTAATTTGAACATAAGGCTGGCGTAGGCGTTAAGCAGTCACTAACATCTTATAGCATCCAAGTTTCTGCATATTACATTTTGTAGGGATATCATGAATATATTGATGAAAATCTTCCACCCGAGAGCCCTTATCTGTACGGGCTTCATCCTAATGCAGAGATTGGGTTCCTCACTGTCACCTCTGAGAAACTTTTCCGCACCGTGCTGGAAATGCAACCCAAAGAGTCAGATGCCGGAGGCGGAACTGGTGTGTCCCGAGAGGAAAAGGTAGGAAAACCTTCCAGTTTGCTTTGACCATGGCTCTCAGGGTCCTGATAATGGTTTGGGGTTCCTATTTGAATGTTTCTAATAGGTTTGGGCGATTCATTGAGGGGCAGACAGTTATGGCGCTTTCAGTCGGCGGTTTATTGCTAGTGAAACTGCTGCCTCTCATGAGCCCTCTGCTACCAGTGCAGCGAGGGAGAAACAAGCTGCAGCTGGAGGCAGAGGGACTCAGAGCCGTGGCAGTTTCAGCAACCGCCATCACAGTCTACCCCTCATGCCAGCGCAGAGAGAGAATCAAGCTGCATTGGCCAGGCACCTATACAGCTTGTTCCTCCCTCCTTTAAGCTGCTTGGCTGAGGAGCGCGCAGCTGCCCTCGCCTCAGCCAAGCAGTTTTACAGAGCCCCAAACCCACCACCAGTTGGTACGAGCCAGCGGCGGGGTGGGGGCTCCATTGAACTGCTCCCGCTCTCCAGCTGAGGAAGCCCTGATCCTTCTCCTGCTTGCACATGAGCAGGAGGAACCAGGCTCCTTCAGCTGGGGGGGGGGGGCTTTGCGTTCCCCAGCTGAGCAGCCCTGATCCTTCTCCTGCTAGCATGCAAGCCAGAGGAGGATTTGAGCTGCCTCCACTGGGGAGTGGGAGGCTTTGCACTCCCTGGCTGGGGTGTGCAAATAAGATCCTGCCCCTCTGGCATGTGCATGTGCCGGATGGACGGGGGTCCTGCTCAGCCGGGGGGGGGGGGGCAGAGCCTTGGCGCTCCTTGGCTGAAAGGGCCATGACAGCAAAGGCGAAGGGAGCCCTGACAATGGAGCCTGTCAGGTTCCATTGCAGCGCTTCCTCTGTCTTCGAGCAAGCGGTCTCTTTCTCCTAGGAAAAGGAAGCTGTTTGCGCGCACGCCCCAACCCTTGCCTGCAAAGATGAAGGAGCCTGGCAGGCTCTGTTGCAGGGCTCCCTCCATCTTTGCCAGCAAGGGTGGGGTGGGGTGGGGTGGGGTGGGGTGGAGAGCAAGCAGCCTCTTTCTCCTAGGCAGCTTGCATGCCCCCCACCCCTTGCTGGCGAAGGGAACCTTGCAAACCGAGCCTGTTGGGCTTCATTGCAAGGCTCCCTCTGTCTTGGGGAGTGGAGGGCGGAAGCCTTTGCGCGCCCCAGCCGAGCAGTGGACTGGGGCCAGCTGCATTGGCCCCGACCTGCAAGGTGCTGGGGTGAAAGCACCTCAGCTCCCAAGTTGTGAGAGCGGAGTTTCACCTGGGACCTTGCAGGCTGGGGCCAATGCAGCTCCTTTCAGCATCATGGTATATCGCCAAACCGTGATGTTTGGCTGGTGATATATCGCAATGTTGAAAACCTAATTATCGCCCAACCCTAGTTTCTAATCAGCAACAGGTTTTAGGGTTGCTGCTACCTGTTCTGCCCCTTCTACTGTCAGTCCTTTTTCAGTTGCATTGATATTTCTTCAGGCCCCAGGAAATGTGGGAAATGCTCTGGTCTGCCCACCTTGCTGGGGCAGGTATTTTAGTCTAGTACTTTGCTTACCCTTTGGAGCATTTGAAATGATGCTGCATATAACGAAACATTCATTTGGCCTTCTGTGTAACAGGTAAAAGCTGTGCTAGATGAGATCATGGATCGGCTTCCAGAGCCCTTCAATATGGTGGAGATCATGGCAAAGGCAGCTGAGAAGACCCCATATGTAGTAGTTGCCTTCCAGGAATGTGAACGAATGAACATCCTTACCAGTGAAATTAGACGTTCTCTGAAAGAATTAAACTTGGGATTGAAGGTAGGTGCATATTGTATGCTATTGCTAGAAGTACACCAGAAAAACAACAACATTTGACCTGGTTCAGTCAGCATACTTGACACATGACCTGGCATAGGAAAATTAAAGTGGAGCGTGCTTTCTCAGTAACAGGAAATGCCTGAACATCGAGACTTGATTTTCATCTTTCCTGCTACTGCATTTAAAGAGCACTTTAAACTAGAAGATAATGATACTCTTTTTCCAATCAGAACAGTACATATTCAGTAGTTTGTATACACAAGCACATGAAAATTAAGGGAGATAGAGCCAAGATGCTTGTCTTGGGAATCTTCCCTCTATGTTCACTGGCTGGTCGCTGACTTCAGCACAGATGGTGTTCCCTGCCCAGTGGACTTTTCCTTCACTGCCCTTCACTATGTTCAAGTTTTGCCAACAGCTCAACCTTCCAACAAGTCTTCCACAATACAATTCTATGGCAAGATTGGGGTGAGGTGGGGTGGATAAAGAGAAAAATATCCTCCTTGCAAGCTTCATTGTGTTGCTTCTTCCTTTATAACAAAACAAGCCATTTAGAACTGTGTGCTCTGGCCCAGGAGACAGGGAGGCATTAGCTCAATGCACTTGCTCCCCAAACTCCCCAGGGTGAAATAAGGCTGTGGACATTAAGGGAGCCACATACGACAACTCACAGAAATGATGTATGTGTTGGAACCACAAACCAATAAGGGCTTGTCCAGCAGAGAACTAAAAATAATTTACTAAGGGTCAAAAAATTGTGTGTGTGTGTGTGTTTTGCTGTTTTTAATCATTGATATCAGTTACACAACTGCTTGGCATTAGCGCTGGCACCCATAATTATAGCACTAGCTGGAGGAGTGCATTTCATTTTCTCAGCAATGCAAGTGCTGGGAAATTTAAATTGCCACAACATCAGCAGTACCATGAGGGAAAATGCCTGGAAACACCACCACAAGTGAGGAACGACGGTACATTGTTTGCATAACATATAATCTTGAAAGTGCTGTAATTAATGCCAAAGCATTCACATAACCAGAACCTTAGATCAACAGGGATGCCGTTTTCATAAAACTACACTAAGAATTCTTCAAATGGTCTGCATAGCCACAAAAAGCTGTGCTGAGCTGATGGAGGAATCCAATTAAAAGCTTTTGTTTTGTTTTCCCCACAGGGAGAATTGACAATCACAACAGACATGGAAGATCTATCAAATGCTCTTTACTATGACAATGTTCCTGATTCCTGGACAAACCGGGCTTATCCATCTTTGCTCAGCTTGGGAGCTTGGTATGCTGACCTACTGCTCCGCATCAGGGTGAGGCTTCCTTTGTTAAAGCTCTCCAAAAAACAAGTTCTTAGCTGTCCTGGCAGTGCAACAACCAGGACAGCTAAGAACTTTCACTTACACATCATCTTTTAATTAAGCAACACTCAGTTATTTGCTTTTGCATTGTTTTTTCCAACTTTACCTTCTATATATATCCTTAATAACAATCCTTAATAAAATAACAAGAATACTTTACAGCTGTAGTTGTATGCAATTCTACTAGGTAAAAGTCTTGATCATCTGTTTAGGATGACAGACATGCATAGGCTTTTCAGAATCTTTATGTGAAGATAATGTGTTTATAGGAGGTAGTTTCTGCTAAAGCAGCAATGGGAAAACGTGTGACCCAATAAGTGTTGTGGAACTACACCTCCCATGATCCCTGTTCCTTGAGTGTGGTGCCTGGGGCTGATGGGAGATGGACTCTCAAGTGCAACAGAAAACATGGACCTCCTCAACATGCTTAGCTATGTGTAATATTTTCATTTTCAGGAGCTGGAGGCCTGGACAACAGACTTTGCCCTACCCACAACTGTATGGCTAGCAGGCTTCTTTAACCCTCAGTCTTTCCTCACGGCCATTATGCAGTCTATGGCTAGGAAAAATGAGTGGCCTCTTGACAGAATGTGCCTTTCAGTGGAAGTTACCAAGAAGAACAGGGAGGATATGACAGCTCCCCCTCGAGAAGGCTCCTATGTGCATGGGCTCTTCATGGAAGGTAATCTAGCTTATCATGTAAGACAGAGATGCAGTCATTCAACAGCAGACAAGGCAGTTTCTCCTTTGTCCTATTCTACTGTAGGGAAGCTCTCCATTTCATCTGTGCTATTTCTTTGAGAGAGGTGGGGAGGGTGTTTACTATAGTTTCTTGCATTTTTAGAACATTGTGTCCCTGGGTTCTCTCTTTGCCTCCAGGACGTTGAAGCAAGACCACTTTCCCCTGCCCCACCTCTTTCAGGCACAGCTCTGAGCTACATAATCATCACAATTTTAAAAAGAAGGGCACCCCATCAATGCTTCAGCTGTACCTTTGTGCTTGGTAACAGCAGAGGATTCTTAATCAATTTTGTGCAGTAAAATATATTATTTGCCATTCATTGCTGGATGCCTTCAGCTTGTGCAAATATTATTTCCACTACTTCCAGGCTGAAATATGTCTGTTTTGAAAGCACAAATATTTGTCAAGAAAGGATCAAGCAGACAACACTTTGCAGTAGCTGCCTTTATTATCACTTTAGCATGTCAGCAGAGGGCAGCACATGCCTATTTTACTGCCCTTACAGACAAAACTACTTAATTGACCATATTAAAATACTCTGTTTCTAAGTGCGGCAAAGGTTAGGAATGTAATATTGCCCCCGCATATTAAAAGGGGGGCTGAAGAAGCCTAACCCTTAGTGCTCAAGTCACTGTAGGTAGGGACGTTTATGTTACCTACAAGGCTGAATGAAGGTGGAAGGAAGAATATAGCTTTCTGGAGCAAAGGAACACTGCCATAGGCTCAGGGCAAAGTTGTGCATTCAACTCTTTCTAGCTTGTTAATGCTCAGAATTCTTACGTAAATTATGGAGATGACAGCAAAGGCACATTCAAGCCAGAGCAACTACCTGTAGCCATGCTTCTAAAGACAGAAGGTTGGTAGTGTGAGGTTCCCTTCCTTAACGCTTGCTGCAAATGAAGCACCCTCTAGGCTGAAACATCACCACAGTTCTGTCCTCCTGCAGGTGCACGTTGGGATACTCAGACCGGTGTCATCAGTGATGCACGTCTGAAGGAGCTGACCCCCTCAATGCCCGTCATCTTCATCAAAGCCATTCCCGTGGATCGTATGGACACCAAGAACATGTATGAGTGTCCTGTCTATAAGACGCGCATGCGAGGCCCCACCTACGTCTGGACCTTCAACCTGAAGACAAAAGAGAAGCCAGCTAAGTGGATTCTTGCTGGAGTTGCTTTGCTCTTGCAAGTTTAACACCTGCGTTGAAAGCAAAGCCCTACCCGCCCACCCCCACTCCATCATGTCACCCCACCACCTGTCCCGAAATAGAAACTAAAAAGACTTGTTTGCAAAGTTTTCAATAAAAAAGCAAAAGTGTGGTTATGCTACTCAGGTTGTTATTGATAAAGTATTTTTACAATAATTATGCAAGCCTGCAGTTTATGACTAGAAACAAGTCTGTGTACATTTGTCCGCATTGGCCAGGATTCCTTTCCCAGTTCACTTTCATTGTGTAGCATTCACTGCAACTGACTAGAAGACTTTTCAGTTCTCATAAGTATGAAAATATATGCTGATTATCTCAGGTTTTTTCCCCACCTAAGATGTGTTTGCTAATCTCCACCAGCATTAATCCACAAGGAGAAGGGACTCTCTCACCAGTTAGGCATAATAATGCCAAATTTCTGAAAAATGCAAATGTCTTCCTCTGTAACTTATTGAACCCAGGAGGCACCTCTTGATTTGGCCTACTTGGAGCTCTGCAGGAGCAAGTTTAATGCCTGAGGCGCTCCTGGTAGTCACATTAGCACTACTTAAGAATATAAACATTTGTTAGGTTTATATTCTTGATGAGCTCCAGTATCTCCCTTCATTACAATAGCAGTTACCAAAGCCTCAGCCCCCACCTCAATCATTGCCATTTTCTAGATAGTAAGAGGCATCTTACTGCCAAAGAGAACCTGGTCCCTAATAATACATAAGGAACTGTCCAAATAAACCTTGGTGTTATGGATGAACACCTGATTCAAAGCTGTAATATCTGCACTTCTGTTTCCCTTCTACTCTTTTTAGCCCTCATGCAGTTGACCAGGACTGTGTATTTGAAGCCTCAATTTCTCCTTCACACATGCCTGCCTGGCATTTTACTACTTTCCAGTTATTTTATATGCGAGTTTTAGCTTTTCCCCAGAACAAGACAAATTGAGACAAATTAATAAGGTCTCGCAGCGTTTTGCAATGACCGTCCAATGCAGGCCCTTTGATAGCAGGCTTATGCTGTGCAGGAAAAACACTGCCTTGGTTCTTACAGAAATCAGCTCGTGCTTCTTTCCTGTTTATTAAAGTGCTTGCCAGGGTGGGGGGAGGGGAGGGTATAAACAACAATTTACAAAACTCACCCCAAAAGGACCCGCCTATCTTTTTTTTCAGAAGAAGTTCTTAATCAGAGGTGTCACCATCTTCACCCACAGTTGGACATAGCGACTAGACTGCTCAAAGGTTGATGCAGACACCATACTAGACCGCAAATAAAGCTGCTCTTGCTCCTATAGTGGGAAAAAGGAGGGGGAGGTTACTACATGAATTTGAACATCTGCTCCTGGACTGCATTACTGATTGCTTTAATTAGTTTTAATGAAAGTACAGGGCTCCATATACTTTCATTCCTCTGAAGAGCGTTATGCAGGCTGACCTGCTTTCTCAAGTTTGGCATCTCAAATGCCAACTGAGTCAAGTAATTGCACATACACAGAGCCCAACCCACATATGTATACAAACACACAAAGGAGGAAAGCATTGCGAGATTTGGCCCTGCAGTTACTTTTTTCCCGTAACAGCCAAACCCTGAGCTATAATCGTCCAAAAGGAAGCTCGACTTTAATCTCCAGAGACCAGACAGTTCATTTCTCTTCAGAAAAAGCTCCGAAGCTGCATTTTAAAATGAATGTGCCGTCAAGGTTTCGCTGTGGTTCCCAGAAATACTAAGCACCTTCAAAGAACAAACAATACAGCTGGCAGGGACAGCAAGTGTCTGTGTGATACAGGACGCATACACCCCATGAGATTTGAAGTAGTGCTTACAGCACAAAGATACTTTCTCACCTGTGCTAGAAAGATGGGTTCTTGTACATGCAGAGAGCCCTGACACAATTATAGGACTTCTGCCTGACTCCAAAGTCAACACAGCTCAATCACCCATCCTCAGCCACATTATTAGCCACCTATAACCTTCCCAAGCCCAGCTGAGCAGATCTAGCCCATGCAGATTGCGTTCTAATTCTCGCCCCTGCCCCCTCTTATTTCCTGTAAACTAGTTCCCTCTAGGATTTAACAAGGCCTTCTTTAAGTAAATAGATAAAAAGTAAACCTTATTCAATGTGCTTGTGAACAAGGGGGTCCTGTGTTCTTCTCACTCATTAATTCATGTGTTTTGGTCATCTAAAGAGGGCTAGCACAATTGACTTTCTTTACCAACTGGTAATTACGGCGTAGGCAGAGCAAGTGCAGTTAGAAAGGTGATTTGACCTGGGGCTAACTGAAGGTCTGCAGAAGTGCTAGCTGAGCAGCAGAAGTGTGTCCTTAAGGACTGTGCTAATGCTGCTAAGACAATGTGCTGGGAAGTATACAGGGCACAGTCCTGACATGGCGCCTTCACAAAAGGCTTGCAGTCCACATGGGATGCGAAGCAGAGAATGTAAACAACTCTTATTAAAGGATCAAAAAATGACTATCCACAGACTTCAGAATGCTCTGAATCCACCCCAAAGGCAGGATTCACACAAACTGTAAGAAACGTAGTTGGGTTACTCACAACCACCCCCCTACAACAAGAGGTACCAATGCTCCACAAAGGATAAGTATAATAGCAACAGTTTGTGTATGCGGCTTACTAGGTTGTCATCTGAATTCTTACCGCATTTCCAATAGCTCCCATTTATTTCAGATTATACATCGGATGTTTATAACCTCCTACAGATGATACAAAAATGGAACAATTTTTTAAACGCCCGTTCCATCTTTCAGCACATGGAGAGAAATTGTGGGATATAGTGCAATACTTCAAAAGAAGGCAGGTGGTGGCATGAACTGCTCTCATCAGTTTCCCCTTCCCTGTGGAAGGAGGAAGTGGTGAGAACAGTTCATGTCACTTCTTGCCTTTCCCAAAGCCTTCCTTGCACAACCTGGAACAAGACCCTACCCCCTCCCTCAAGTCCTCAAGAACTCGAGAGCTGAGAGGGTGTTTGTTTGTTTGTTTTCACAAGCCACCACTGCTTTTGCCTTCTACAAAAGTAGCATGAGGGGAGAGCAATCTCTCCCCTGAAATCCTCTGGCGTAGGGGAAAACAATTGCTAGAGAGTAAGCCAAGACAGTATTTATGGAGCCCCTGCATTTAAAGGCTGAAATTATACATGGCTTCTATGGCTTGGCTGCTACAAAGTCTCAGGCAATGTTCTTTCAAAAACCCAGTCAACACTGAGACTTTGTGTTGGGGTAGAAAACCTTTTCCCAGGTAGGGTGGGCTTGCATTCCCTTTTGGGCAACCTTCAGGGGCCCATGTGACTATGATGAGTGGGGCCAGAGGCTAAAGTGAAGAGTGCAACAAATGTACAATGGGCTAGTTTCTACATAAACCTCTCTATCTGCCATTCAAACAAGCAAGAGGCATTAGCAGTTTGACAAGGGCTCCTGGGGATTCTGAAGGCCGCAGAGAAAACTGGAGAACCACATTTAAGCCCAGCCCTGAGGTTCCCCAGCCCTGCTTTATGGGGATTTTATGTGGTACCAGGTATTTTCATATAAATTTAACCAACTACAAATTTCAGTTAGAAACCAGGGGGTAAGCCTTCTTATGGAAACTCCTGTTTCCAGTGAAATTCAATGTTACGACATAATAACTTTAGTTTGGATGAACTGGCTGAGAGTAAATCTTGGGATTAATATGTATGTGCAAATCCAACTGTTGTGCTGCGACACAGCGGTTGCAAAGGGCAATTAAAAAGCCAGTCTAGAATAAGTGAGTGGACAGAGACAGGAATCAAGGCCACGCAAGCAGAGATAGAATCAGGTCAATCCGAAATACATTTGCAGCCAGCAGGAGAGCACACACCAAGAAATGCTGGGAAAGCCCACAGCAACTATTTCATTAATCTTAAAAATCAAAAGCACTGTTTTCGTATTCTGTCAGTCTCTGTATAACCTTTGTTTTATAAATAAAATTGGGCAGGAGAGAGAATCAGGAGCAGAAAAGTCTAAATGAAAACCTACAAGAATAATTATAAAGAAAACATCTGCACTTGTACGTCGAAAAGTTGTGAGCAAGAAAAAGCCAGAAAGCAGCTAATAGTTTTGCCCCTCTTTATAAAATTCATCAACCATTGGATTACCGAAACACTGGGAGGTACTAGGATAGTCTTTAGGAAAACTATGGGCCACTACACTTCTCCCCATGGGGACAACCATCAAGTCAAAGGAGAAAAGCACATGGATGCGTTAGGGGCAGAGGTAGCAATACCTCTGTCTTTTCCCACATTTATCTTCAGCCTCCAGGACCAGCCTGTTTACGTTAATCCAGATCCATTCAGGACTACAACAGCTATTTCAGATGCATCATCACTGGAGGGTTTTTCAAATAAGATTTTTCTTGGTTTTCTTTCCCCCCAGTGTTAATGTATCCGTTTTCTAGTTAAAATGGGTTAGAGTTGCTTTTGTAAAAAAGCAACCAACACATTTAATAAATAAAGAAAAGTAACCGCTCACACAAACTTCCTCTGGACAGTTTTGAATTAATCCAGTTTCCTTCAACCCCACTACTTGTTTATTTTATTTATTCATTAAACTAGTATACTGCCCTTCACCCATAGATCTTAGGGTGGTTCAGTGTGAAGCGGAGCACTCAAGTCATTGGCCCACGAACTACGCACCTGATGGAACTGCTGTTGCAGGGCTTTGTTTTCCGTCACTATTGCAACCTGTGCTTCGAGGTCCCGATGAACCGACCTGTACCCAAAATTAGGAGAGCCAATCAGAGTTAAGCAGGGTAGACTGCTTCCTGCCAGGTACAACCAGAGGCCTGCAGGGAAACATGGGGAGAAAGGAAATGTGGCAGACGGAGGAAGTTTTCATGGAAGCTGTTATGAGCCTCAAACAATAGTTTATTCTTGAAAGGAAAAGCAACAAAACACACTAAATATTTAATTTACTGGCAGTATAAATAGGTCAGGGTACTAAAGAAGCAACCAGGAAATAGGGATACTTCCTTGCAGAAAATGTCATACAGGAATGGCACAAAAATCAACAGAGTACCTGGCTGCACTTTTGCATACGCTTTTCTCAGCTTGTACAACACAATCCCTGCACAATGGGATGCAGACCATGCTCTGAGGTCCATTGCAACACACACTCCCCACCCTGTACAGCTGCACTGAAGGCTTAGGCTTTTAATATTACACTGATCATGTTTAAAAATAAATTAGTGATGTCCCCAGGTTCTTGACGGAGCAAAGACCATAATCCCTCAAGATCAGTACTTATGCACAGAATGATTTACTGTAGATGCTGCTGCTGATCATATCCGAGCAACTACTGTAGAAAAAAAGGTTTATCCTTCAGAAGCAATACCTGTATGTCAATATCTATCTCCCTCCCTGTCCTTCTCTCTCTCTCTCTCTCTCTCTCTCTCTCTCACACACACACACACACACACAACTAAACAGCGGTAACAGCACAATTACCAAAGGCAACACCAGTCTACCAACCTGGTCTCACCCATTCATCCGGAACAAAGGAACAACCCTGTGGGAATCATAAGATAGCAACTTTGTTTTTCTAACACTGCATGAGTTTTGCATCTCAGTTCCTTCAGGCCAATGGGAGTGTCCACATTTGTAGAGCACTTCCCACTGAAGAAAACCACCCAAGCTTAAAGGAAACACTTCTCATCATTATCTGTTACTGAGCCAAATACATGTGAGCATACTTTTCATATTTCCTGCCACACTTGGGAAATGATGCAAAACTGAAATCCACTTTAAAGGGTCTTCTGGTGCTTCCCTCACTGCGAGAAGTGAAGTTACGGGGAACCAGGCAAAAGGCCTTCTCAGCAGTGGCGCCCTCCCTATGGAACACTATCTCCTTGACATCTGATGGGGAGGAAGTACTACACAACTTTTAGAAGACATCTGAAGGCAGCCCTGTATCAGGAAGTTTTTAACGTTCGACGTTTTATTATGTTTTTATATGTGCTGGAAGCTGCCCAGAGTGGCTGGGGAAGCCCAGCCAGATGGGTGGGGTATAAAGAATAAAATCATTATTAAACTGCCCTTTGCCCTTCGTGATGCATACACCCCAGATGAACAAGACAAATGATGATCAGATGTATACTGCCCATCTTATTGAAAACAAGAGCCAAGGCAATTAACAGTGGGTTTGCAACTGAATAAAACTAGGTACATTCACTGGGGTAAATTATTGTGGGGGTTATAGTAGTTGTTCTATTTCAAGGGTCAGGAGAACTAAACAGCTCAATTATTTTAAAATACCACTATGAAGGGCTAAGAAGCATGACAGCAAAACATACCAAAACAAACAATCCTATCAACTTACCAAAACCCCACACAGAGCTTCCCACTCGGTCCAATATCCTCCTGGTGTTCACTTACTAGCTCCACTCTCACTGGAGCCACAATGTGGGAAAACAACAGGGAAGAAGTATTCTAGCCATGGAGCACACACACCCTGCTTGCAAGACTCGCTCTCATTGGAATTTATCAACATGGGAAAGAACAAGAAAGCATTACAAACTAACCAGCTTGAGGAGACTATCAGAGGTCACAAAGAGAAAGGAAAAATATATGAAAATAACAACAAGAGATGTGGAAAAATAATAAGAAAGGACTGGATAGTACTGTGAACATCATAAGGTTAGATTTGTGGACATTAAAACAGCAGTAAGAAGCAAGAAGTTGATTGGATCCCTTCGGAACTTGAAATACGGGTACCCCCAAGAAAAATTTAAAATTCGGCTGTGTAATTTGGAATTTATGTAATTTGGTTTGATTTGATGTGATTGGTCGGTTAATAAAAAATTATTCTTAAAAAAAAGGGAAAGAACAAGAAAGCAGTCCACCTGGCCCTCAACTCCTGCTTCTTAAATGTCTCTTTACCCACCTGAAATCAGGAAAAGGTCTCCCTCAAACTGCCCAAGCCCCGGGAGCAGCCGCTGTTAATGCAGGGGTTACACAGCACCATGGACAGAGTTACGAGCTGCCCACACCCTAATGGTGAGGCCTTATTCAACAGCCTGACACGGGAGAGACATAGGAGAGCCTTTTCTGTGACTGCAGAAGTTTCTTTGGTCTACTCTCTTCTTAGCTTCAACCACCAGGTAAGGACACTTTTGTTCAGGTGGCACTTTTATCAACACTGGAATCTTAAAGAGAGTTAAAACACTGGTGATCTGCCATGCTGTTTCTAGGTTTTTGGCATTTAATTGTTTTAATTATATAATGACTGGGGATTGCTTTACCATTCTTTGAACATCAGTAAGTCCCTGAAACTAGTTACTCTGGTAAGCGGGAAAGTGGGATATAAAGTTTTAAGCAAGCAACCACTGAAGGGAAAGCTGCTGCTGGCACTGGTTCAACAAAAAGGCTGTGAAAAGGCTGGTGGGGCAGGGTGGGCAAGTGAGGAGGCACTGGAAGCAAGGCCCGCTTGTGGGTCCCAGCCCATTCCCCAAGAAATTTAAAATCGATTAACTTCCACACTTAGGCAAGTGGCTAAAGCTTACCAGCAAAGCTGAACAGACAATTTTTCCTGTTTGTTAGCAATCTTGTGCAAATGCATTAACTGCCTCTTATTTTCTGAGCTGCTGTGTCCATGTTTGAACTTACAAGACTGCCTATTCTGCACCCCTCTGATACGGCAAAGAAGCCCTTTCACAGGCAGCATCACAAACATCACAGTTTGTAGCTTTTTTACGCAAGGAGAATAATCTACAGTTACTTTGACCTACTTGGACAGTGTCTTGTGTTCCAAGTCTGAAATAGTTCCTGTAACTCTAAACATCCCCACACTCTTCCCTCTCTATAGCCGTTTAGAAAACCAAATGAGCAAGCAAGAGTGCCCTGCTGATGTCCCTGGCCAAACATCCAATCCAGCCTTGCAGAATGAGGAGAGAGGGATGCCTGCAGGCATGCTGGAATTTGATTGAGCCCACAAACTTCTTTCGCATTCCTGTTGCCACAAGAAATGCAACAGAAGGTTAGGCTGCATGTCCTACAATGGTGTTAGCTTTGTGACTATGCCAGGCTGAATCCGCTCACCTCATGATTCACCTTTTCAGGAGGGGAAACCTAAAATATTTCTCTATCCTCATTCAGTCTAATAAAGGAGCCTTATCTGGGTCTCAAGTGATACCTGACACTCTGCTGCATAACTGATTGCCAAACACTCTCTCTCTCTCTCTCTCTTTGCCCCAAGAACATACTTCTCTCTCCTGAGAGTATGCTTATGACCTCACTACTACCAAGTATCTCATATTCTTCACCTGCTTGATTCCCAAACAGGAATCCTTTGATTTTAATGTGTCTTGTTTTGATTATATGTAAGCCACTCTGGGGGGACACGGGTGGCACTGTGGGTTAAACCACAGAGCCTAGGGCTTGCCGATCAGAAGGTCGGTGGTTCGAATCTCCACGACAGGGTGAGCTCCCATTGCTCAGTCCCTGCTCCTGCCAACCTAGCAGCTTAGTCATGCTGGCCACGACCTGGAAGCTGTACGCCGGCTCCCTCGGCCAATAAAGCGAGATGAGCGCCGCAACCTCAGAGTCAGTCACAACTGGACCTAATGGTCAGGGGTCCCTTTACCTTTACCTAAGCTGCTCTGGGAGCCTTGTTGGCTGAAGAGCAGGGTAGAAATGCTATAAATAAATCCTTAAATGCCCATTTAGCCAGAAAGCAGAATAGCTGCAGCAGTAGTCTAGCCCAACTTGGTTTGGAAAACCTGTGAATTTGCAACAGTGCCAGCTATTCAGAGTGCCTAAGAGCTTCTTGAGATGGCCTATCTTGAGCAGTTACCTGCACAAGACTCCTGGACTACATTTGGGAACTATTCTTCTATCTCAATGCCTGACGACAACAAATGCATAAATTAAAGATAGCATGATTGCCCAGGGTGGTGGAAATTGGCAGTTTTGGTGGTATTATTAATTTCAACAGCACTCTCCATTTTACAGCTGTTATTAAGTTCCAGTTACAGGTAGGTAGCCGTGTTGGTCTGCCGTAGTCGAAACAAAATAATTCCTTCCAGTACCACCTTAGAGACCAACTAAGTTTGTTATTGGTATGAGCTTTCATGTGCATGCACAATTCAAGCAGAGCCAGCCGTGTTGTGGAAGGATAATGACATTGCCTTGAGCTGCTACGCCATCAGCAATGTTGGCTGCACACTTCTCAAATGCTGTGTGTCTTTGTACAACATCTCTCTTCTTGGGTGTAAAAGTTGAACAATCAGCACTGGGAAGCCATGTATCTTTGGTGGATTGTAGCCAGGTTTTCCAATAATAGAAGCCACAGCTAGAGATAAGATATGCTTATCTGCCATCCTATGCAAATCCCACATTCAGAGGACTGCTGGCAGGAGATCTTTAGAGTGAACACAATTGCACAGTTGGAAGCAGTGCTGTTTGCTACCCCTGTGGCCCTCTCTCTTACTGTTTCTCCTGGTTGTGGGTAAGCAGCAGTGTGCAGAGACACGTTTTCTTAAGAGTTAGTTAGCAACACACACACCCAACCCCACCCCACCGGCCTCTTCCCAGCAGCTTTGCAGGAAGGAGGCAGGAAAGATAGCAGCATTCCCATAATCATTAACATCCACAAACGTAGGCAAACCAACCCAGGGATCCCTGGAGAAGGGCAGCCTAATAGGATGCGAGCTTTGGGACAGGCTCAAGGGAGGCCTGCTCAGTTTGCTCTAATCCCATTTCTAATGTAAGTGACAAATATGGTTCCCTCAGTACCATGGAAAGCTGACCACGGGAACTTCAAAATGCCTTCCAGAGCAGAATTTGCTTGCTGTCAGCTTGGAAGTCTCAGAAAGGGGTGGTGCTTCATTACACTATCTCAATAAAAACACAACCATTGGAGAAGCAAGCGGGAACCCAAAGTGACACTATAGAGGCAGTGTCTATCATTGTCAAAGCTGCAGCTGAGCGGCAGCAGTTTTCCGTGACACAAGAGAACTTCAGAACACCTCCATGTAGCATAAGAATTAGTTCTCCAAGACTTATGCTTTGGTCTCCAAAATATGATGGGTATGTCTCAGTCCTTTCAAAAGAATCACAAAGCTTAGCCCAGTTATTTCACCATCAGTGGTCCCATGTCTTTTGGGAGCATCTCAGGCACTTGAAACACACTTCTCCACTCCTGACTGCATCCTGAACATCCATCGTTTTATGAAATCCCACAGTGTCTCCTTGCTTTCCCCACCCAACACTTCTCCTCACAGAAGGGGAAGCTGAAACATTTCATCAGAAAGGAGAAAGAGAAAGGAGGGACCTAAACACTGGTGAATGGACCTGATTTCAGCATCCTCCTTTCCTAGAACAGACTGGGTCAGTGCATTTAGGGGAGGATTCCTCATCTCCCTTATGCACTCAGGTAGGCCTCTTCCCCTTGGTTGGAAGATCAGCAGCTTAGGGAAGTACAAAGGGAATTCAGACCACAAGCTATCAACTGACAAATCCTAATTTAAGACTACAATTAGCTTTCACATCTCCCTTCCAGGGACACAAATTATACAATTTCCTGTTTTCCCCATTGGCTACATCACTTACATAGTAAATGAAGAAACAGCATCAGACAAAATGACAAGCAGTCAAATAATAACAACTCCACTCCCAGCTTTTCCCGTATCTAGCATCAGATAGCTTCCCTCTTCTATGGTAAGGACAAAGTTACAACTTCAGTCTTGCTCATATTTAGGTTTGGTCATGAAGCGTACCAACAGGTTTTAGCTAGAACTAGAAGTCTGTCTGAACAGTTGAGTCAAAGCGATTAATGCAAACTGTGTAATTACCCACAATACATCACAAAGGTTTTGCTGCTATCAGTCGGTTCAGGAATGAAGAGGCACCGAATGTGCTGCTTAAATCAAAGCTGCCATGGCCTCTGTGAATTAAGCATCTGATTCAAGAATCCTCAGCATACACTTCTTGGAAACATATCATGATTATTCCTAGCCTTTTTGATACTATGCACAATCAAATCACTAAAATTGAAAAAAGCAGTAGGCTAAGCAAGCTAGAAACTGGCATGGAAATTATCCAAGCTTTTCTCCCAAAGTGGATGCAAATACTAAAAGATAATTCAGTGCATTAGCCCCCAATTTAGGTAAAATATTCAGGGAAATTGGAGGTACTGAACATGTGGCCCTCCAGTTGCTGTTGGCCTTCAAGTCTCATCCTCACCCGTGATCATGGTCGTGTTGGCTGGGGCTGATGGGAGTTGGGAGTCCAATGAATCTGGAGGGCCGCAGGTTAGCTGCCCCTAAGTATAAAGTATACCAAGTATCTCAACAGAAAAGCAAACTAAGCTCTTTGAATATTAAGCTCTTATATTAAATGCCTTCCCCCAACAATATCTCACCTTTGGCATGGAATGTCCATGCACACCTAGAGTATTCCTGCAGCCGAATTCTCTCCTGCTGACCCAGAGAGCACACTTGGCTAAAGAACTGCCGCTCAATGTAAACATAGGCAGCAGGGATGGCACCCGCCACTCCCTTGGCCCCAAAGAACCCATTCACCTCTGGTGAGGCTAGGAGGATCTGGTAGTTGGCCCTGGTGCCCAGGATCAGGTCCATATAGGCTTGTGTGAGGTTGAAGTAGCCCGTGGTGAGATGTATGCTGGCACCCCGCTCTGCTTCCAACAGGAGAGTCTCCGTGACGATCTCATCTATCTGAATCCCAAAAGGTCTCATCTGTATGAGTGGATAAATCCACGTGTCCGGTTCAGGCTGCCTGTCAGTAGCTGCAGTTGGATCTTTGGACAATGGGATTCCTCCTTCTGCATGGTTGCTATGGAAAGTCTGAGTGTGGAGCAACTCCTGTCTGGTCCTTGCAGAGTTGATCACTTCCATCACTCTCCTATTTGCTGCTTCACAATAGGCCGTCTTGTCTCCTGAGGGCATGAATAAGTGATTTAATGGGGACAACGCTGAACAGCATTACCTGTACATGTGCAAGGAAACTATAAAGAGATCAAAAGAATACCAGTATGACTAATGGAAGCTAGATCATCCCAGGACATTGAGAGAAAAACATATATCCAAAAAGGAGCCTGTATCCAAATGTCGGGGCATTCAGAGGAAAACATCTATCACAGGATAAGTCTATATCAGCAGTTGCGAATGCATTTCTTCCATATAAAGCATGGGCCACTTGGAGGTACTCCTTCCAGTTTAGAGGACTTCCTATTGACATCTGAGGAGTTTGCCAGCTGAACAGATGTCGACACTGGAGCCTCACAATCTGATTTTTTTTCTACACTTTCTGCTCATGTTCAATCCTATAGAGGCAAACTGCATGGGTTTTAGTTTGAGTTCAAGAACAGAACAAAAATTCATAGATCTGCAAGTATTTATTTAGATGGTTTATATACTGCCTTTTGTACAAGCCACAATTTGCAAGACAAAAAACAGATTAAAATATAGGCAACTACCAATTTACACGAGGGTTACATTCCAAGGCACCAAACATTTAAGTGAAATTGTGTATATTTGAAAAACCATTGAAAAAGCCTGTAAACACCTCGTTCTGCCCCTGCCCTGTTCTGCCCCTTTTGGTTACATTTTCAGGTCACTTTTGAGTTCGGCACAGTCACACATATATCAGAAGTGCTTAAAAAGGTTGGTGCCTGCACATAATATTAGAGTGGATCCTCTCAAATCAGACTGGAGGAACTCTTTGTCTACTGAGCAAGTCTGGAGCTGTGTAAAAAGTGGGAAGGCACAGGAAATCTCTTACTCAGGCCTGATCAGAGAAGCTGGAGGCATCTGCCTATAATGGATGGTTTCATCTATTTCCTCTCTGAATCAAGGTAAAGATGCTTTCCCCCCTTCTGTTTCTAAAGCCCACTGCTAAGACAGATGGAATATAAAGGCTCCCTTCACATATCCTCATCTGCTGCAGCATACATCAACAGACTTCTGCCACCCACCATAGAATGGCCACATTATACTCTGAAAACAAGAGGCTGGTTGTCGCATTATAGCTTGCCACAGATTTCTAATTAAGTTAATGTGTGCCCAACAGAAGAAATCTCAGGTTGAACTGAGGCATACTAGCAGTCTGTTACCAATAGCTTTGAAATGTAAGAGCCAGCAGTTTTTTCAATCTGCCTCTAGTACAAAGAGAGACAACAGGTCCCCTACAAGGCAGAGAGCGAAACAATGAAAACATGGTAGTCCTTCTATTAAGCAAAGGTGGAAGTAATATCTCGTACAGCATTTCAAATTAACTTATTTCAAATTGATCTTCTGCACTGGGCACAAACTTGCCAAGCAATCCTATCCATGTTTACTCAGAAGCAAGTTCCAATGACTTCAGTGTCCATAGTCCTAAGTACGCATGCACAGGAGTGTGATGCTATAGTCTGCAGAGAGATTCCTATACCACCATTTTAAGATGGTCCTATGCTGCAGGGAGGACTTCCAGTATACCATTTAAGAGCAACATCAATTCCCCTCCCCATAATACACCCTTTCTTTTACTTGGTTGCTTAACATCAGCCTAAAGAAGTTGGGTAAAACTCAAAAGGTGGCTCGCTATTTTGTCATTTTAGTTAGTCTGAATAAAAAGATTACACCGTTACTGTTTGGATTTTATGACCTGCATTTTTCATCCATGGTGTTGTAATCCAGACCAACATTTATTTTAGTACTGTAGGACCGTAAAGAAATGGAAAGGCAGCAGGGGGCATGACCAATAATATACTTCTACAGTAATTCGGCATTGCCCACTTTAGGAACAGTAATAAAATACTCAGGCTTTTAATTAAGGCGTTGGTAGCTATCTAAACTATGATATTATGGCAAGGATACCCATTTGAAGAAAAGATCAACTCCTTCCAACCAGAGCTGGCTCCTCTGATGTGATTTGAGCATCTAGTCGCCAACCCAGTGGTCAGCAGAAGGTGAAAGAACCCTTCACTTTCAGGTTGAAGCAGCTACGAGTAATACTTGAGACAGTTCTAAGCAAATGTGTTCTTAGGAAGGCATGTCCCTCTTCCCTGGGTGCAAGGCTCAGGGGCAAATTCCTAGCTGAAGGCATTGTATAAAGGAAAGTGGAAGGACAAAGAACAAGGAAGAACACACACTTCCAGCTAGAAACGCTGAAACTAGAGCAAGTGTTAAAGCAATTACCATTCACTCAATGCCCAAACAGATACCGTATGCATCTGTCACTTAACTAGCAGAGTTTATTGTGTGTGAATGATGAAAAAAGAGGGCCCTTATGATTTAAAGGGCGTGGGGGAGAAAGTAGAACAGGGGTCAGCAACCTTTTTCAGCCGTGAGCCGGTCCACTGTCCCTCAGACCTTGTGGACTATATTTTGAGGGGGGGGGGCGAATTCCTATGCCCCACAAATAACCCAGAGATGCATTTTAAATAAAAGCACACATTCTACTCATGTAAAAACACCAGGCAGGCCCCACAAATAACCCAGAGATGCCTTTTAAATAAAAGGACACATTCTACTCATGTAAAAACACACTGATTCCCGGACCGTCCGCAGGCCAGATTCAGAAGGCAATTGGGCCACATCCAGCCCATGGGCCTTAGGTTGCCTACCCCTGAAGTAGAAGGAGGGCAAATATTCAAACGCCATCCAAAAGGCATGGTCAGGCAACCTTTGTGGTGTGCTAATTAAGAAAACAGACACTGGAGGGCAGTCCCCCCCACATCTATTCCCATGGCATTTGTTTTTGTGAAACTCACCTGATCACAGAAATCTCAGCAACTGTGTTGCCAGGAAGATGTCTCAACAGTTGGCAGTGCTTGGAAAACCTCTCCCAAGGGAAGGTGACAACCCAGCATCTTAACACTTTATATTAAATTTGCTTTCTTCAGGTTGTAACAGAAGAAGAGTATTCCCCTGACAAATGTGCTATACAAAAAACACTTTCTCACTAAGAGTACATAATAATATCCAGCACATAAGCATCCATGCACAAACTCTTCTGCAAATACGGTACAACAATACTGGGAATTGTTTATTAAAAAACAAAACCCTCACACCCATTGCAAATGTAAGGTTGCAAAACTACTCACAAGCATGGAATTCATCTAGCAATCAGAATGTCTAGCTCTACTTTTGCAATCCACAGGAAACTTCTAAACATCATGGAAACAGCACCGGGGCTACAAAGATTCCCCAAATCACAATGCTATCTATTGACACACCTTTTCCATCACTGTTAATCCCATTACTAGATATCATAGATTGTGTCAGTTCCCAACTGGTTGGGCTAAATGACTTCCTGACTCACGTAAGAGACATCCCTACCTGACCACACCAAAGACATGCATGTCCAGAGGTCATGCAAACAACACATCAAGTGGGGGGGGGCAGAGCTCCATGGTTTAGCTTAGGTTCAGTCTCCAGTGGAAAGGAAATCAGTGTTGTCTACTCGGTGTGGCAACAACTCTCCAAGGTCTATTCGAGCCCTGCTCCGAGTTCCCTTTCTTTTATTGAGAGATGTGAAAGTCTGAACCTTGGTCCTACTTTATGAAAGGCATACTAGGCTACAATCTCTCCCAAACATTCCTGTCCCCTTTGGAAATGAAAGGAGTCTGTTTGTACTTTGTTGCCTAGAGGTACACAAGATGAACTTCAGCTGGGCTCATATAACTTCGGGTGCTGAGAGGGCATATAACACCAATTAAAATATGCCTCTATCAAAACTGCTTACTAAATGGTCCTCTTACCTTGGTAAGGATGTACCATCCCATCCATCACTTGGACTGTATCATCTTGCTGTAACTGCAAGGACACATCCCCAACAGCATCTACTAGCTCAGTAAAGAAATCTGCAATCTCAGGAGAGTCTTGTAGGAGCACATAGCGGTCTTGACGATTGGTGAAATAAGAGTCACTCAAGTTAGCTCTGGAAAGGGAAAGGAGGGAGAATGCTAACAGCTAGCTGAGAATGACAACAGAAAAGTTATGTATAAACTCTATCCCATATACCTGGTACCGTCAAAAAAGAGTGAATATCTATTGAACCATCACAGGAAGTTTCTATCTGTAGGCAGAAATACCCTCCCTCACCTACCTCCCTAATCCTGCTTAGTTGAAAGGGGAATAAATTCGTAAGATTCTGCAGAAGCAGAAACAGTGGCAATATTCCAGCAATGCTAAGGTGCGAGAGAGAATTATGTCACAATGTCTGCAGAACAAGCAGCAAGGTTTGCAGTATGCTCTGCCTTAGTTGCTTTTCCTGTTGTTTCTAAAGATCACAATATTCATCTACATATCCCCATTATTAGGTTTGTTGCAACAAGGGACTTACCCGCTCAAGATCACATTATCATCAAAGAGATAGACCTTGATATGCTGCAACCCAATGGTCTCATTGAAACGTTCTGGGATTAGGAGTCTGAGAAGACCACGCAGATTAGGAGTGTGGAAGAGAGAGACACGGACTTGCTCTGGAAACCTCTGCAGGAGTGGAAGGAGCATGGTCCGAGAGTTCTTTCGGCCTGGGAGGGAAATGAAAATGGATTGCCAGCTTCAATAAAAGGACAGGATTTGCCACACTATGCGTATTTGAGTTTAAGCAAGCCGTTTCTTCAAGCCATATTTTATAGCAACATTCTTTGCAGCCCAAGTTCCACAATAGATACCGTATTTTTCGCTCTATAACACGCACCTGACCATAACACGCACATAGTTTTTAGAGGAAAACAAGAAAAAAAAATTCTGAATGAAACAGTGGATGTATCATTTTTGTGCTTCATGCTGTGGCTACAGACATGTGATTTGACGGTGAGTTTGGGGTAGCCCAATGCAAAAATCCTCAGAATCCATGTGGATCCATGCTTTGTAACCACGTTTTTGCACCATTGCAGCCCCAGGCAACAGTGGGTGCGTGAGTTTTTTTGTGCAGGCTGTAGCCATGGACATGTAATGTGATTTGATGGTGAATTTGGGGTGACCCAATGCAAAGATCCTGAGGGGAAGGAAGGAAAAACACAGAAGGGACAAGGAGCACGAGAGGGGTGTGCGGAGAAGCAGCTGGCTAACAATGCAGGAGAGGGGTTTAACGGGAGGGAGGAAAGGAAGGCAAAAGTTTTCCCCCACCCACCCACCCAAGCCAGCCCCCCCCTCTCCCACCTGCATGTTTTCCGGCTGCCTGCGAGTCCCTAGAATGCTGGGCGCAGCAGCAGCAGCAGCACCAGAGCACGGAGAGGAGGTGGTGGTGGCTGTCCGCTGCGCTCCTAGCCGACGGAACCTGAGCCGGGTGGGCTGGAGCCTGCGCGCAGTGTGACTAGGAAGGAATTAGAAGGAAGGACGCAATCCTTTCTTTTCCCCTCTGCTTGCCAGGAGGGCAGGGGATTTCCCTGCTCTTTGTTGCGTTTGAGCAAACACAGCAACCAAAAACAGAAGAGGTTGGGCAGTAAGACCCTGAGGCAGAATGCAGGAAAGCAGCAGCTTCCTCTCTGCAGCTTTCCCTCCTCCTCGCAATCTGATTTTATGCCTGATTTTATGCACTCGGGCCAGTCGGCTCCAGGGACCACACATTCGCTCACTAACACGCACAGACATTTCCCCTTACTTTTTAGGAGAAAAAATGTGAGTGTTATAGAGAGAAAAATACGGTAATTACTGATTATCAGGATTGGTATGTACCTAGGAGCCAACTCCAGGGGCACCAACAAATGAATGAGCAAAGCTGGAGAGAGGGAGCCAGCCAGCCTCTCTGGCGCTGCCTCCAAGAGAGAAGCAGTTCAGCTCCACAGCCAGCGAGTCACCATTTTCCTGCACGCAGTCCGTGTGATGTCTCATGCACTACGTGCAGGCGTGTGCATGTGATGTCACACATCCACATTACGGCAGCGGACACCCACAATCCTGAGGATGAGATGGCACCCCTGGGTATGTACATGTTCCCCTGTGGCTGCAGTGATGCTAGCTCAGAGAGTTGGAGGTTTTGTGCTTTCCATATTGCCACCAACTTTGGCAAGATGAAACCTAATTAGGAGAAAGAATGGAATACCAAGATTCACTCTTAGCTAACACAGAAGCTAGCTGGCTGTATCAGCTCCATAATACTCAGAGCAGACCCACTAAAATCAATGAAGTTAGTAATGACTAACATCAAAAATATTTTGCCAAAATGTAACAGAAGAAAAAATTGGACCGTTTTACTTGGATGTAAGTGAAATTGCTTATATTGGGAACACCATCGAAAAATCCTGCAAACACTCTCCAAACTTCTGAAAACCCTTGAAAAACCCTTAAATCCACCAAACTCCACCACAATCACTCCCTCCAATTCTCCTTGCTCCAACTCCACTTCTCCACAGGCTTCAATGGTCAGTGCAAGGACTTTCAAAGGCTCATGGGATTGGTAGGTGCCGGTTTTGCCCTTTTTCTAGTTACTTTCAGGTTTGCAGTGATGCACACATGCACAGTTGTGCGCATACTGAATGTGCGTAAAATGGCCATTGCCTGTAGAGTCTTGGTGTGAAAATCTGCAGATTAAGACTACTGAAATCCTCTAAATTTGAAGAGGTTATAAACATAGTTCTTTAGAGCTGAGGTGTCCAGCCTGCCTAAACAGCCGAGCCCAGCTAACACGAGAAGCGATTGTGACCAAGCAACACACACTTACCCCGAGATCCCCTTGTGTAGTCTAAGAGAATGGACACTCTTAAGTTGGAAGGCCCACATCCCTGCAATGACCTTTCCAAAGCCACTTCAATGCAATCCACCTGAGGACAATATAAGACCAAAACTTATATACAGGTAAGATCAAATTTTATGAGCACACACTATTCCTAAGCCTTCATAGTTTTCCCTAATTGGTACAGCTATCACTGCTAGGCATCTGCCTATTCACCCACGCAAAAGGAGGACGAAATTAATAGTTCCCATCACCGCAGATTGTATTTATTCTCCCATCACAGGAATGTTAACACTGTGCAAACAAAGATTAAAACAGTCACAAGACAGAGAGAACAAAATTTAGGGCCCTTCATCTATTTAACAGTTTAGGGCTCTCATTGTAGACTATCATTAAGTTATTTCTTCCAAAGGCTCCTCATTAGTCCAAAAGCAGGCTGCAGAAAAGTTGTCATTGTAGGATAGAATAATGTAGCAAAAATGAAAAAAGAATGTGTGAATAGACCAGTTCTTACAGCAGATATATATGGCACACTGGCATGCCTGTCATCAATGTCAAGATGTTTTGCCTTCATTTTTCTAGGCTGACAGTTCTACCATGAAAAGCCCACAGGACAAAGATGGCAGAGATGAAAGAAGGGAAGGTGAAAGGTAGAGATCTATGAATTCAGAAGTTAGAAAAAGGAGGCTATGTACAACATTGAAGAAGAGCTATAGAGGACATCTCTTAACCGATTATTTCTCAGATATCTGCGGCCTGCTCTCTCCAGCTCAAACACTTACTAATTCCTGTTCCAGAGGTCCTGTTCCAAGGTAGAGTGAAGCCAAAACCACTCGCCGCTTGGCCGTCTTTATCTGTCCCTGAGAGAGAGAAAAGTTTAGATTCACTGATTTGTCTGTCATGTGAAGCCCTCAAGTTCCTCCCAAAGTCCACTCAATCCAGTACTTAAAAGTGAAAAACTCAGCTTTATCTATCAGTATGTCTCTTCTTTTTTGTATCAAAGTGAGCACACAAAATTCTTACAGCATGCCTCATTGTATTTTAGGACAAATATCTCTTGATCAGAGTGGACAAGGCAGCATTTCTATTGCTTTCACTTGACAGGTCCAAGACTTAACGTATGTAGCTGCCTCATACTGAGCCAGACTATAAAGCTACTACTATTTACTATGAATGGCAGTGGCTCTCCAAGTTTTTAGAAAAGGGTCTTTTCCCAATCCTGCTACCTTAACTTTTTTTTTTACAAATGACAGGAATTGAACCAAGTGCCTTAAAACAGCCAAGCCAAGCCTCTCCTGCCTCACCATAGCTAAGGGGGAAAGGACATAATACTTGGTCAAATGAATTTTTCCTCCCCACACTTAGTTTCTTAAGATCCAATACAGAGGAAAGTCATATGGGCTCAGTCACTAAGACTTACTGGATAAGGAATGATAAAGCACTGTGATCCATAAGCTTGAAAAAACTCTTTTAGGATGCTGCAGAGTACAACTGGGTACTTCTGAAATTTTGGCTTGTCATTTTTTAACACAATAAATGGCAACAGAAACACATGAATGTAAAAAAAAAAAAAAAAGCCCTGCCCGTCTACTCTTGCATTCTGTTTTCACAGTGGCCAGCAAGAAGAATATGGCAAACCTGCATGCAGGACTTGAAAGCAATAATGGATGAAGAAAATGCATTTTGACATTGACGCTCTGTTGCCACCCCTATTCCCAAAGTTACACGCTGGAGACATGCCAAATCACCTTCATAAGTTCGTAGAATTCAGTCGGAGAGGAAAGCACCTTAACATGGGAACTGGCAATTCCAAACTCTGGGACAAGGTTTCGGATCCACTGAAATCTATGGGATCCCTCAGGGCAGAGGCAGCAAGGTGGGGCTGTTAGCTGAGGAATAGTAGGAGAGAGCAGCGGGGCCAACAGCAGCCATGATGATCTAATAAGGAGAAAGAAGTGGGTTGAGTTGCATACATTAAATTTTATTCTCCTTTATATTGCCTCCAGGTGTGTGAGCAAGGGGGTAGTCAAGCCTGAAGCATTACACATCTGCCTTTCACCTCCATTACTCACAGCTGGGCAATTTTTGCCAAGAAGGGGAACAGCAGGCTGTAGACAAAGGAAGGAAGGCAGACCTGAGCTGTATGTTAATAACTTCCTTTCAAGGCTAAAGAGGAGGCTCTGCGGACAGTAGTAAAGCTGACCCACAACTGTGTAACAGCAACAGAATGCTCTGTAAAAAGACAGTGGCCAGAGTAGCAATACCCAAGGTGACAGACTGCAGTGATCCCTTCATGTTTCAGCTGTTGAAATAGCAATACTATAGTCCTATTCAGCCTTTCACAGGGTTATACAGTGGTACATCAGGTTAAGAACTTAATTTGTTTTGGAGGTCCATTCCTAACCTGAAACTGTTCTTAACCTGAAGCACCACTTTAGCTAATGGGGCCTCCCGCTGCCATTGCACCGCCGCCGCGCAATTTCTGTTCTCATCCTGAAGCAAATTTCATAACCCAAGATACTATTTCTGGGTTAGCTGAGTCTTTACCTGAAGCGTCTGTAACCTGAAGCGTCTATAAGCCGAGGTACCACAGTATGCAACTGAGCAATTGCATTCACTGAACTTTCGCAAGTGCAATAGCTTTCACAAGGAAACTTCCACTCCCTCCCCTCCATGAACCCAAATTTGCTGTGGAGTTCCTCTCTATCCCCACCTCACCAGCAGATATTGGTGCAGTGCAAGGGGTACAGGGGGAAGGGGGAGGAGGGGGAGTTCTGTTGCACTTGCAAAAGTTGCTCTGCTTGCACAATGACCTAGGGCCCATCTGCACAATACATTTAAAGCAGCATCATACCAGAATCCTCGGAACTGTAAAGGATGAATGGAGTTGTTAGGAAACCCTCTTCTGCTCACGGAGCCACAATTTCCAAAGTTCTCTGGAAAGTAGGATTGCTCGGAACTGTAGCTCTGTGAGGAAAAGAAGGAATACCTAACAACTCCCAGCACCCTTAACAAACTACAGTTCCCAGGACTCTTTGGGGAAAGCTGTGACTGTTTAAAGTGGTATGATGCTGCTTTACATTTATCATGCAGATGGTGCCTTAGCTGGATTCAACCTTTAAATTATAGCTATACAGAGTGCATGCGCTAGCAGCACCTCTCTACCCCCCCCAAACCTTCCTGTGTTGAATGGGAAATCTAAAGGGGAAATCTAAATGTGTTTAGCTGAACATGGTTACAGTTTTCCCTGCAACTGGGAACCCTGATTGTGGGGAAGACTGGAAGTCAATTCAACCAAACACCGAACGCACTTAGAATCCCCCTTTAGACCTTCCCACTCAACAAAGAAATGTCAGAAGCGGCTGGTCAGCATGTGTGTTCCTTCTACGGATATAATTTAAGAACATCTATTCTTTTGGTGTACTTCAATTTCAACTGATTGTTTATATTGTACCCTAGTTATCTTTACTGCATAAATATGGTTTCATTTTCATCTAGGAAGTTTGAGCTTCTCTCTGGTATTTATTCCAAAAAGACCACATGTAGGAGATCACAACATAATGCTTGGTGGAAATAGATCCACTATTAGAAAACTACTACAAGCTACAACACAACAAACATCAAAGCTGGAGGCAGGGAAGAAATGTGCCAGCATCCGGCTTCAAGGCCCTGGCATTATTACAGCCATGGCTTGTATTTTAAGAAGGATACAGAGACAAACCAAAAAAGACAGTTGAGCTCAGAGAAAATAACATGTTTAGCAATGGACTCCTCTGGGAGGAAGGGCAGGATATAAATTTAATAAATAATTTTTAAAATAAATAACGTTAACTAACTGTACATTAGCAAACCATTTCCTAACAGAGACACCATCCTCTCAGTATATAAGCTTATGAGCAGCTGAATCCCACACTGCTCCATCAATGTGATCTGCTTCAACGTGCATGACCTTTACCAGAACTTTATGAGGAACTCAGGGTTATGAGGAACTCTTGGTCCAAAGCTCAAGTGACCACAGATTCCGGGAAGATGATTTCACTTATTTACTTCATGATAAAACACTGAATCTTCACAAGGTTTGCATGCATCCTTGCACAAAAAACCCCCAGACAGTTTGCCATTGCATTTCCCAGAAAGCCCACCGGTTTGTCACTGCCTATTCATCACAATGGAGATCTGACTCAGAGTGTGGAAGAATTCCTAGCAATTTCGTTTTTCAACAGTTTGTGAGGACTGGGCATTGCTTTGGCAATACTGAGTTACAGTAATCTGGAGGGAAAGTTTCTATTCTCCTTAAACTGAAAAGGAGAACTTTAAGAAATACTTCCCTTGTCCTGTCTGTGAAGAGAAGCAAACTAGCAAGGTGACACTGGTTTATCTACCTGTATTTATTAAACATAAAGCACATCCAAATGCCTTTTCAAATGCCCAAAACAACTTGATAAGGAACATGGTTTTGGTGCATTGTGGGAATCCACCCTCCCTCCCTTTTATCAACATCATGGCTACACTTAAATGCATGTGCACAGAAACAATATCAACACAATTTGTGCTTGTCCACTTATACAACATGATCAACAATATATTCTCTCAGTGATCCCTAACAGTATCTTGCAATTTCCTTCTGCAAACGGGGTGGGGGGCGAGAGAGCATCACACCTCTCAAATACAGACTTTATTCTAATACAAGCAGAGCAGGACAATACACAGGGCCCAGGGATCTTTAATCCGCTTTATCTTCGTGAATAGAGTTAAGACTACCCTGCGGCTTGTGTTTTGCTGATGAGCACACCTCCCATTTTAAGAAATTTATGCAGATAGCTAAGAGTTCAAAGATGTCTTCTTTCAACTCATGTAAGAGACTACACACAGCAGAGCTTCTTATTTCCTTTCCACAGAACAGAATGCTATCTTGCAATCACCTTTTAAAGCTTTCTCAATAGTCAAGAATCATCCAAAATTGAAATGCAGAATGGGAAGATAGTGTTCCAAGTCCAAAAAGGGGAACTGTCTGGAAGTACACACGGATCTCTTCTTTGTATTTCAGAGCTTTTAATAACTGCCTTTTCAACCCAACTACCCACTCCTCCCAGTAATTAAAACTTCTCTGGGGACTTACAGTAAGTGCCAAAATCATAAAACTATGAAACACTGAACAAGCAACTAGCAACAGAGAATAAAATCACTACAGAAAACTTAACAGCACCAGAAATTCCACAGATGTTAGAACTTCAATAAATATCTTTAGTCAGTAAAAGATTTAAGATTGGTGTGACATCCAAGTCAGTGCAACTGAAATCATTGTGTTGTATCTAACAAGGTTGCCCCCTTAACAAAGGAACTTCTTTCTGCCTGTGCAGTAGCTCTTCCTCTCCAACTCTTCTCCATGCATGCCCACCCCCAATTTGCTCACAAGTATTGCAGGAATCCAAGAACAGATTTTGGGGATGGGGTGCAGGAAGAGGAGGGCAAGAGGAAGTCCTATTGCACAGGTGGAAGTCCATTCAAAAGGGATGACTTTGTTGGATACAACCCACTGGACTCAAGTTACTTAAGTCCATTGATTTCAATGGGTTGACTCTATGACTAGCATTGATCATGCCCAACAGAGATTACAAAGGCTGGGAAAATACCTGGTCTGAAGGCACAAGACATCATCACATCGCTGAAGCTAAGTAAATCTGGATCTGGTCAGTGCCTGGGTGGAAGCCACGCATAGAGGTTTTATTTACAATTAAGCTGGCTACAAATTATGTTAAATAAATACACACTGCCTTGAATAAATTATAAATGTAAGAAAAGAAAAGAAAGATCTTCAGCAGGCACAGCATATATGTCGTTGTGAGACAAGCCTCTCAAGTGAGGAGTGTTCCATAATGAGGGTGCCACAAAACATACTGTAGTGGAATTAGGGTGATTAAACAGGGCAACTATTTCTGCTAAAATAGATAAACTTAAAGACTCGGTTTGCATCTTACACAAAACCATACCATGGCTTAATGCGAATGTGCAGGTTCCTGGAGAGGAAACTGTGGCCACTTTGTTCTTCCTCCAGCCCTGCTGCTGCTACACTGCTGTGAGCTTAACCATGGTATGGCTCAGTACGCCATCCAAACCAGGCTCATAATTTGTCTTACTCGAGTCAAATTACAACCTGTACACTTAGAACAAACTTTTGTTACAACTCTGTCTGGAGCAAGACAAAAGATAAGCCCAGTATCACACTGAGACAAACCATGGCTTAGCTCACAGCAGCAGGACCAGATGAATAGCAAAGCAGCCAGTGTTCAAAACTCCCATTGTTTTAGGCGCATTTTGCAACAGGAATTACATTTGCGTGAGCAGTTTCTGAGCTCTGGGAGCAGTACTGGGCCTAAGATTTCAGTTTAAAACTGCAGAGTGGAAGGAAAGGAGCTTTTCTGCCTCCCCATTTCCAGCTGCTCTCTGAAGACTGGAGAAGAGACCCTCTTATGAATATTAGGGGGGTGGGCAGGGGAAAATGTGAAAAATGAATGTAATATTTTAGCTGCAGTTCATTCATTTTCAGCTCTGTATTCTTGTTATAAAAAGCGTGCCTTGGCATTCCGTTGTTGTGCCCAGAACCTAGATGCCATTTAGCTCATGGCTTTCCTATCTCAGTTTCTAACACGGAAAGCAGCAGCATAGTTTCTACAAGCTATGGGTTTGATTTAGTGCATTATGCGAACTGAGCCAAAGCAACTGAAAGTGGGCTACCTAAAAAAATAAATGCCACCTGTAGACCAAATATTGAGCCTCCATGGCTCAACCATGAAGTGGTAATGCAGTTCTTTAAATAAAACAGCTAGCTGATCCCATATTATCAACCTGGTGGGCTAATCCAGAAAGCAATTATTTAGCCAGCATAAATGCAGTATCAAAATTACCTAGGGAGGGGGAAAGAATTGAATAAGGGGTGTCTGTTTATCGCTTGAATTTGAAGTATCTGCTATTTATAAATCTGGGGGTTTTGGAAGATCTATTTTTAGGAAGTGGGTCTTTGACTAATATCGCGACAAAGTGAGTTCAAGTACCACAATTCTTGTTAAACCTCAGCTTCTTCGGCAGACAGGAGAAGAGAGATTGCGTGATATCTCAGTGTGCATCACCCACACAGAAGCCACAACATAGTGGCTTTTGCCAACAGCTCTTGATTCACTGGAATGCCTGAGTCTATATTACTGTATTTCTGCATAGGCTGTGACTGAATCTGGGAAACTAGTTTTATTGTTAACATTCTGATGCAATGAACAATAAAGGCTTGAGGGTAACTTCCTTAAAGTAAGAAGGCTGGGTGTGAACATGTGGCCTGAGACTTTTGCTTTCCCTTGTTTTAACTGAGTCATGCTTACTGGATGCTACAAATAGTTTGAGTGTTCACCTTTTCCTCTTTCCCACAATTGCGTGGAAAACAGCTCAGATCAAAGAGCAAGCTGCTTCTAAAAGAAATATAGTAATTGTCATTACAAAAAAGTGCTATTGAAAGCAAACGAAACCCTAGGAGTAAGATGCTAATTTACTCAAAACCCTGGCAGTAGTACCATCTATTCAACAAAACACAAAAATGACCTCATGTGGGTACATTTCCATATCCTGTGTTCCTGAAGATGATGAATAACCAAACGGTTGCTACATGACTGAAGTGTAGCATATACTTTCAGCACAAAACACAATCATATTTTTTAGCTGATTTATATAGCACCTTTTAGAAAACAACTGCCCCCTTTAACGTAGTGTACAAACTTGCATAAATTACAACCATTCAATTAAAACTACATTAAACTTCCTTAAAAGTGAAGAACAGCAGTAACATGATTCTCAGAGGTAAATATGTTTAACCCATGTAACAATTTTATCCCCCTGAAGACAAGGAGATGCATATAACCTAAAATTCTATATTGCCATATCCTTGTGTCTAGGGGGGCATAGCATGGCTATAGACAATACAACCTAGAATTCTGTGATGAAATGCAAACCTTTTCAGACTAAATTGTACACATTTTAATAAATTACTTTAATTCAAATACTTTAACTTGGTTGCAAAATAAAGCTTTCATATGGTGTTAAGATAGGGACGGGGTGGTGCTGTGGGTTAAACCACAGAGCCTAGGACTTGCTGATCAGAATGTTGGCAGTTTGAATCCCCGCAACGGGGTGAGCTCCCGTTGCTTGGTCCCTGCTCCTGCCAACCTAGCAATTAGAAAGCACGTCAAAGTGCAAGTAGATAAATAAGTACCGCTCCGGCGGGAAGGTAAACAGCGTTTCCATGTGCTGCTCTGGTTTGCCAGAAGCGGCTTAGTCAAGCTGCACACCGGCTCCCTCGGCCAATAAAGCGAGATGAGCACCGCAACCCCAGAGTCGGTCACGACTGGACCTAATGGTCAGGGGTCCCTTTACCTTTATGGTGTTAAGAACAGTGTTAGAAAGCAAATATGGTACTGTATATTTAATCTGATTATTTAAAAAGAGAGAGAGAGAGAGAGAAGGCTGGGGTAAAAGAGCTACCTGGGGTTAAGAAGTCTATACCCACACCTGTGCAATACTCAACCATTTTGTATTTTCTCCACACAACCAGGAGGACAAGACATTTACTTATTCCCATGAAAGCCACTGGAAACTGTGTTAGAGATACAGATTCTGCAGATATGCTGTACAGATTTCAAGGCCTCCTGGGCCTCCTTGCTCAACAGACCACATTTAATCTATCCAACCGCTTTTCTAGCTATTGATTATTTATGGAAATTGGCAACAAAATAATTACTTGGGAGCCATCCAAAGGTTTGGGAGAGGGGCCAAGAGAGGACGTTTTCCAACAGAGAAATCATTGTTAATCGTTTAGGAATATATATTTTAAAAAGAAAAGATTTGTTTTGAGTACAGTATGCTTTACTGTACACAGATGAGCTGGCGTGAAGAGAAAAACTAGTCTAAGAACATCTGCTGAGAAAACAAAGAAATTATGCTAATCCAACATACTTCCTGTAACCCAAGCAGCAAGTAGTTTTTCCCAGATAATGCAAGACTCACCATAAACAAATGCTATTCAGAAGCTTTCCTTCTCATATGCTAAAAAAAACAGGAACTTGTTCATTGTATGCAAAGCATTTTGTACCATGCACACATTATGTTTTGTCCTTTAAGGAACCTGGCAAGTTAAGCCGCTGTTCCCATTATGCTGCTGAAATGGAGGATAACACACTGCAGCATTTTGCATTTGGCCCAGGATTTCCAAATTCCACAGTCAAGCCTCTAGACCACAATACTAATTAGGAAAGTTTGACTGAATCTTGAAGATGCTAAAGCATTACACTGATTCAAAAAACTATTACAGTGGTGCCCCGCAAGACGAATGCCTCGCAAGACGGAAAAACCGCTAGACGAAAGGGTTTTCCGTTTTGAAGTTGCTTCGCAGGACGAATTCCCCTATGGGCTTGCTTCGCAAGACGAAAATACCTTGCGAGTCTAGAATTTTTTTTTTTGCTTTTCCCCCTTTATCTAATCTGCTAAGCCTTTAATAGCCTTTAATAGCCTTTTAGCAGCTAATCCCTAAGCCTTTAAGCCTTTAATAGCCGCTAAACCGCTAATAGCGCTAATAGCGCTAATCCGTCAATGGGCTTGCTTCGCAAGACGAAAAAACCGCTAGACGAAGACTCTCGCGGAACGGATTAATTTCGTCTTGCGAGGCACCACTGTACAAATGAAAACATGATGAAACGCTGGTGCATTTCATGGGCAATCAAAGAAAATTCAATCTTCTCTTTTTTCTTCTTCACCATCTAAATTTTATGCTGACAAGTTTAGTTTCTTGAGAAGGGGCAATTGTACAAAAGACTGTGACTTTATTTCCGAGAATCTCTTTCATGTCTGGCATATGTGCATTATTGTTTTAATTGTTAGACACCATGGGAACCCTTGGGGCTGGAGACCAGCATATAAATGCTTGCAGCATTTAATGCTGCATCTCCAAAGCAAACATCTACAGTCTTTGCTTGCTATGTGAATTCTGGGAAAGTTCTGTAATTCAATACCCTGGACAAAAAGCACCTGCTTTATGTGAAAACACCGGCAGAAATTTGTTTCTCCTGACCCTGCCACCTGAGCAGAGAAGCAATAATCAGCAGGAAGAGGTTAATATTTTCCTTGAGATTTCAGTTGTTTTTGTAGCTTTAAATCAGCATACAAGCTGTACGCACTCTTATTTATACATGGATGTTCCACATAGATTTGCTTTCTTACTGCTAGTAAAATGAAGGACAGGAACTTAAGGTAGGATTCACATAATGAACCCTATCAGCAGAAGCATGGTCTTCTGCTTAAACAACAGGGCTTTCTCCTCCCTCCCCCCTCCAAAATTGGCTCAGGGCAAGAGATCCCCCAGAACAAAGGGGGTGGGTTGAATCGTTCCATCTGACAAATTGATATGATTATGCCAACGGAACATTGAACATAGCACAGTTTTGAATTCCATCCTTAGCTTCTTTGTAGTCGATGTTTACTGAGTCAAAAGATATTACAAATTTTAACATGAACCTTAATGAACTTCAAATGGGTACAGTTGCTGGATTACAGGAATAGCATAGCATGCAATTTTTAAAAATACCAAGCCTTGATTACTTATAACATAAAATAATTTATTAATTGTACCCTGCCCATCTGACTGAGTTGCCCAAGCCACTCTGGATGGCTTCCAACAGAAGGAAGAAATCTGTTGCTAACCCACGGGCAAAAAAATCACATGTAGGAAAGCACATTCCAGGTAGTGTTACCATGTTTAAATGGCCATATCCATGTGATACTCATAAAGTGTGGATTGGCATCCACTACAGTTTCATCTCCATATACCTGAAGGAGCGTCTCCACATTCTTTTGCTGGTTCCCTCACTGGAGGTTACAGGAAACCAGGCAGAAGGCCGCCCAGCACTGTGGAATGCCCTGCCATCAGATGTCAGAGAGATAAACAATTATCTGAAGGCAGTCCTGTATCGGGAAGTTTTTCATGTCTGATATTTTGTTGTGTTGTTATATTTCCTCCTTGTGTTCACCTTCACAACCATGTTTCTCTAACTTGGGTCTTCAGCTGTTGTTGGACTACAATTCCCATCATCCCTGACCACTGGTCCTGCTAGCTAGGGATGATCAGAGTTGTAGTTTAAACAACTGCTGGAGACCCAAGTTTGTGAAACATTGCTTTACTGTTTCATGTGACATGATGGGCATCTCATCCACGTGTATCCACTGTTATTTTTGTTCTCTATTTACCATCAACAGATAATGCTAGCCTTCCTAATTATGAAACAGTAAGTTGGATGCTTACTAATTCTCTCTATTGTTATGGGATTTTTAATTACTGTGACGGGATTTTGAATGCAGCCTTAGGCTAAGTAACACAGAGTTCCAGTAACTGTGCAAAAATGGCCCATGGGAGGGTATGTCACAGTGACACAACATTGCCCTCACTCGTCTCTGCAACTAGTCTCCAGTCACTTCATCGTGGGAAAGGGAATTCATGATAATGAGAGTTTAATTTCAGAAATGCGCTCCAAAGTCTCGTCAGTTTCATCACCTGCTCTTTGAAATCTTTGCAAACTATTCTGGGCTTCTTTGGGAGGCAGGGTAGGATATAAATCTAATAAAATTAATTATCAGAACGTGGGCCAAATGTTGCACAGACAACCACTGCTGTTTTATACCGATCATTACACATAAAAACAATTAAAGATTCTTTATCAAATTTTATCACTTTTTATCAAAGCACAAGCTTTCAGGGACCCAAGCTCACTTCACCAGATGCATGAAGACTTAGTTGGCAGTTACAGTATCTAAAGGAGATTATTAAGTGAGAGTTGAATGGCAACAAGGTGCAAAAATTACAGTGACAATTAGAGCTTAAATATATGTTACACAGAAACATATTTTATACTCTGCAAGAGCAGATTGCTGATAATTGCTTGGACTACTATATTCACACCTCTAGGCAGAGAACCATGAGCAAGAATCAGTCATAGACAGGACAGATATCCAACAAATGGATATGTATTGTGATAAAAATTCTTTGTTTCATTTTAACAAACAAGCAACGGCATTGAACTTATTGATGAATTGCAACTCAACAGTTTCATTTGTTTCAAGCTGCGTTCTTCCTTTGAAGTACCTATGTTCTAGAATGGACACTTTTAAAGTCAGTTACAGAATGTCCTGGGAGGCTGAAATGTTCTCACACTGATTTATTTCAGATGGCAATTTTCCTCAGGACACTCTGTAACTGACTTTAAGGTGGTCATTCTGGAACAGCAAAACTAAAGGCAACTGTTTCAAAGATATAAATGAGTGCACCTAGTGGACATATGAAAATGGGTCTGGGTTTACCACACTGAAAAATACGGTAAATGGTGTTTAGAGATCAAAACTCAAGCTCTAAGACTTGGGGAGTGTTGGGGGGGGGACAAACAAAATGTCTGACGAGCAATTCTAAAACATGTAGTTGAAAAAATATATAACATTAGTTCTGAGAGAATTCCTGAAAATAGGAGCCAGGCACCAAAAACACACATGGCTCCATTATAGCATCCTGTTATTGCAAATCACCCTTAATGAAAAGCTCTGTGGAAGTTTTCACACCTAGTGTGACCCTATGTCATAGTCAGTCAGTCAAGTTTAGTGCTTATAGCCAAAAGCTGCTGCAATGTAAGTCATTGTCTCATGGCCAAATGAGATGCCCTAGCCTGCTGTTTCCTCCATTAACCAGTAAAAAACAGTAGCATATCACTCCCACAGAATATATTCTCTCACAAATATATGTTAATCATATATTATTAACCTTATCAATTTGATAACCCATGTTTGGAGCAACTATATAACTATATAAGCTCTTTTCAGGAATTCTGCAAATTACAATAGGGTCGGGGGGAGGTTCTAACAAGAAAAAGCACACTAGTTACAATCTCCTCCATACTACTTCTTATTGCCTTCCATAGTTCTTGAAAAGGGCAAATAGCCTTGACATTCCTTAGGATCTATTATGTACTATATGTTATGTATCATCTTACCCTGTGCTTTTGTTTAAAAAATGTTTAGGGGTACTCTCATTTTCTCAAGAAAATCAGCATTTTATAGTCCAAATCGGGGGAAATAAATACAGTAAATGGTCAAAAGTATAAAGATGTTTAGGTGTACGCGTACCCCTGCATCCCCCCCCACAGAAAAAAAGCACTGATTTTACCTGAAAATGAACATGTAAGAGAAATACAGAGTTGAATTTAGCCGCAGATCAGGGGAAACTGTTTCTAGTTAGTTACAGGATGCTAGTAAATTTGACATATGAAAGAGAGCAACCGATACCAGAGATGCAAAACAGAGAAAACGTTGATTCACAAGCATTACTATTTTGGTTGCCCCAAACTGTCTGAAACAGATAAACGTAAGTTTCTGGTATATTGTTAAGTAAATGAGTGAAGAGTGGGTTGATAGTAATGAACATGCCAAAAATAATAATAATAATAATAATAATAAATTTTATTTATATCCCGCCCTCCCCAGCCAAAGCCGGGCTCAGGGCGGCTAACAACAATCAAATAATCAAACAATCAAATAATCCAACATTCTAAAAACATTCTAAAAACAAATGATGTCTCATTCTTCCAAAGTAAATTCTTGAGAGAAGTTATGTCACAGCACCAAATTCATTATTTCACACTGAACCCATTACATCTGCAGCTGACAGTTATGTGAAGTTTGAGAGCATTACTATATTTTTATTATTTATATATGCTTTTGCACAGAAACAAAAAAAGCAGCCAAACTTCCGCAATCACCTAACAACCAAATGAGCACTCCAGCTGTGCTTCTCCAGTCCTTCACTTTTGCATTTTTAAGGTTTACGAAGAAAATAAAAGGCCTGCTGCCAGATGGCTACAGAAACAGCAGAAAGCCCGAGGGGACCTTTCCAAATAGCTGACATAAAAAAGATTGCAGTACAAAAAGAAAATCATAAAACAAGTGGAGAATAAGCTGCCTTGGGACATAAATATAGTTGCAACGCTAATATGTCAAAAATGAGCAAAATAAGCACTGGATTCATTGATCAAGAAAAGTCAAATAAACATGGCTACTTACATGCAGGAGCAAGGTTTAATTTTGCAGCCCAACTCTGAAACTAATGCCAATCAATCTCAAAAATCACTTCTTTTTTATTAAATATTTATTAACTTTCAAAAAAAAGGTTATAAGGATTTGATGACAATATAGTTATATACAATTATAAATCAAAACCAGTAGTTCTATGTAGCCAGTCTCACACACAGATGTAGCCCCCGCCTTAAATCTCCCTCCAACCACACCTCACACAATCTTTCAGCCCTTACTGACGGACCTTTGTCATAGCCAGAAGATGGTAAATCAGCCACTCACACCTTGTATTACTGCTAAACCCTTTTTTGCCAATAAGCAGAGACACCTCCCAGCTCCATGCGCTATTCAAAGCATGTGTCTGTAGTCAGAGACATTACCAAGATCCTGAAACTTGGAAATATGAGTCGCTGAGGCTCACAGTGCTTGCCTCAAATACAAGGAGTATATTTTTACCCTTAAACCCTCCTCAAGTTCAAACTATACTCCAACCCAGAGACAATGTCCTAGTCTACTACCCAGCCATTCCCCATCTAAACCCCACAGCTGATGCTCAAGTTACAAGCAGAAGTTATTCCCTTCTTCTTTCACCAGGCAAAATTACCTGTGGCAAAGGTAGTTTTCCCAAAGGCTACCACAGTATCAGTAGTTTATTGAGAAAACTACAAATCTGGAGAGCTGAAACAGCAAGGAAATGCTATTCTTGCTGTTTCTTCCCAGCTTGCCACCAGCACCACAGCATTAGCTAGTTGAGGAGGGAGAGAAGAGAGAGTGGCAGAAGAGTATTTGGTGATATCAGAAATACGCCAAACCATTTCCCAATGGGGGCAGAAAAATATAGCTTCACTTATTTCCAAGTCAATTCAAGTGTGATAGGCGGCTTGCCAAGTGCTACAATATCAAAATGGATGTTGGGCTAGATCAGGGGTAGGCAACCTAAGGCCCGTGGGCCGGATGAAGCCCAACCGCCTTCTAAATCTGGCCCACGTACGGTCCGGGAATCAGCGTGTTTTTACATGAGTAGAATGTGTCCTTTTACCGTATTTTTCGCTCTATAAGACGCACCAGACCATAAGACGCACCTAGTTTTTGGAGGAGGAAAACAAGAAAAAAATATTCTGAATCTCAGAAGCCAGAACAGCAAGAGGGATCACTGCGCAGTGAAAGCAGCAATCCCTCTTGCTGTTCTGGCTTCTGGGATAGCTGCGCAGGCTGCATTCGCTCCATAAGACGCACAGACATTTCCCCTTACTTTTTAGGAGGGAAAAAGTGAGTCTTATAGAGCAAAAATTACGGTATTTAAAATGCATCTCTGGGTTATTTGTGGGGCATAGGAATTCATCCATTTACTTATTTTTTCAAAATATAGTCCAGCCTACCACATTGTCTGAGGGACGGTGGACCAGCCCACGGCTGAGAAAGGTTGCTGCCCCCTAGGCTTGATGCATCAATAGTCTGATTCAATAAAAGGAAACTCTTTGTAAATGCCAGAATCTTTCACAGCTGTATAACAAGGTTGTTCATAATAAATGCTTTTCAAATAGAAAGCGCATTTTACCAAATCATCACATTATATGCAAAAAGAGGTAACCTAGTCCTTGGATGAGGAAGATCTGGAGAAGCTTGAACAAGAACAAAAATTACCATACAGGGAAAAGAATTAAGCCAACAATAAACTCCTGAGCTTTTAGGAATCACGGAATGCTATTTCCAAGAAGCATCACATTCAAAGTAAACAGCTTTAGTACAGGAAAAATCTTGTTTTCTGTAGCGTTTCCACAAAAGAATGAAACATGTAAGGTGTTAATACCAAATTCACGAAAAGAATGTCTGGTGAGGTACATGGGATCTTTTTAAAAAGCAGATTGCATGAATTTTACTCCTCTTTACTCTGTACAGTTTCAACAGTATGCCCATGATGGTTAATTTCATGAAGACAATGTATTAAGCAAAGCAGTAAAGTATGAGCAAGTGGCACGTTCCCCAGTCATACACATAATGAAAACATGTCCAGACACACGCCAGGATTTCAAAACATTCATGCACCAATGATGTATATCATGTTTCTCACAAACATAATACAGTACATAATTCAAGGAGGCAATGCAGTCTTCTCCAGTCTACCTGCTTATTAAGCATTCATTCTGACTTGCTAGCAGGGAGGTCCGACAAGTTTTATCTCACCCATTGCATTTCCTCATCACATTTCTTATCACAAGGATATGATTTTTTCTGCATGTCAATTTATTGCACAAGACCTCCCAATCAAATACAGTGGTACCCTGGTCTACGAACAGCCTAGTTAACGAACTACTTGGAATACGAACACTTCTAACCTGGAAATGAGGGCTGGGGAGAGGCAGTGACATTCCTTTTCAGCACGGCCTTCCCTTGCTCAGCACCAGGAAGCGGAGAAGGGGGCTGTTGATGCTGCAGGGGGCCATTGATGCTTCCGGGTTAGAAGACGGAGGGAGAGAAAGAGAGAGGAACAAGAGATGCCAGCTGCCATGCGCCAAAGCGCAGTTTGGAGACCCCTGTTGGGACTTGGGAGAGGGATGTGCGGCGGCGAGGGTGTTTATCCGGGCAAGGGGGGGGGGCGTCACTTGTTCTTAGGATCCTGTGGTGGATAGAGATGGGAGGGTGCCGGGAGGGGAGTCCATGGCGGCGAGCCCAATCCAGGTTGAGTTTCCTTTCGCTTTGCGCATGCCTCCCTCCCCAAGGAGTGGAGATTATCGGTGCGCCTTCGGCCTCCTTCTCCCCTGAGGTGCGCTGCCTTTGGGGACCTCCTCACGAGTCGGCCCGGCAGCTCCACCGAAAGCACTGTTGCCGACGCGGACCAGCAGCGGCTCCCCAGGGTTTTGGGTAAGGAAGAGGCTCCCTCTTCCACCCCCACCAGCCCTTCCTGAGGTGCCATCCTCCAGAACATGATGCCAGTCCTCAAGGATCTGGGCTAAAGGTGGAAGCAGAGATGGGGGGCATTGATGCTGAGACGCTGGTGGCAGAGGGGCCCAGAGCCAGGGAGCAGCAGCGACATTCCTGCTCGGCATGGCCTTTCCTCGCTCAGCACCAAGAAGCCACCGCCATCGCTGCAGCATCCAACAGCCCCTTCTCCCCTTCCTGGTCTGGAATGGTCCAGCAATGGTCTGGAAGCTTCCTGAATTTGGTCTGGAAGCTTCCTGAATTTTAGCAAAAGGAAACTAATTTATACTGAAGTGCTGAAACTGTAGCCTTATCACAAGATGCTTCAAACACAATCACCTGAATTCCAAAGTTATCCTTTTAGCCCCATGCTGGCAGGAAGAGTTGATAACAGCTGCAAACCTTTACATGAAAAAGTGCTGTGTACACACCTGTGTTTCTTACAGCAAACGCACACACACACACATCAAGAAACTGCAGTCTAATTAGGGTTCCCAGACACTCTTAGTTAAAGATGCACATATGTTCCGTACATTTTATGCATTTGCTGTTGGAAACACTAGCGCAACACTACTGCAACTCCTATCTGCAGCACAAATGTTGCCATATGATGCGAAAAGGCTCCACTTGGCATGAACACAAGAGCTTCCATTTTGAGGACTGCAGGAGAACCATGAGTTAAAAAGACCTCCAGCTCAATCCTTTTTTTAAACATTAGCTGAACCAGGCTTTAAATCGTCCCCTAGGGTTTTTGGAATGCTGTGGTTTTTACCTTCTGCTCCTCTTAAGTTGCTCTGATTGCTTTGTTGCGTTTACTGCTAGCCACTCTGCAAATCTCTAAGTACAGCAGGAGTACACATTTCCACCAAATAAAAATACAGTGGTACCTTGGGTTACATACGCTTCAGGTTACAGACTCCGCTAATCCAGAAATAGTACCTCAGGTTAAGAACTTTGCTTCAGGTTGAGAACAGAAATCGTGCTCCGGTGGTGCAGCAGGAGGCCCCATTAGCTAAAATGGTGCTTCAGGTTAAGAACAGTTTCAGGTTAAGAACAGACCTCCAGAACGAATTAAGTTCTTAACCAGAGGTACCACTGTATACGCCGACGAGCTTCTCTTTGGCCGACAGTACCTTATTCTTTTCTCCCTTCCTACAGAAATACACGCAGGTACTACAACTGGCCCTCCCCATACCCACTTTACAGGGTACCCCAGACTTTACTCTCAAGGACTATCCCGTCCCGCCCCTATCATTCAGTCTCCCCCTCCCACACACGCCAACATGCACTTAAACACGACGCCGACACAACCTTAGCGACAGTTACTTTCCACTAGGAAGGCGCCCAGCCCAAGATAGTCTCTGAATCTCTTAAGCGCGAGCCCTCCCTGGAAAAAAATGCAGGAGCCGCCGCAGGTGAAAAACCGGCCTGCCGGCCACCCTCCCTCACCTGCGTGCGCGGCGCTCCCGGCCCCGGGTCAGGCGGTCCGACAGCCGGCCGAACAGAGCAGCCAAGGCAGGTCTCCCCCGGGGCAAATAATCTAGCAGCCGCCGCCATAGCACGGGAGCCTCAGCCACCACAGCCGCCGCCATGGAAACCCGACTGCTTCCGCTTCCGGGTGAGCGCTCCGCAGACCCTCTACCACTTCCGCTTCCTGTCATAGAGCTGGGAGGCCGCTTCCTCTCTGCGAAAGTCCACCGCCGTTGCCAAGGGGACGGGGGGCGCAACTTTCCCCCGGCACCTGAGGGCAGATAGGGTGGGATTTTAGGAAAAATACAGACTAGGAAGGTCTCAAGACCACCCCCCCTCGGCACTCTTCCGCTTTGTAGTGCACCACTCCCGCCGCCGTGGTCTTGTTCGCAAAGCCACATAATAATAATAATAATAATAATAATAATAATAATAATTATTATTATTATTATTATTATTATTATTATTATTATTCTAGGTGGTGTTTATCCAAAGGCTGCAGTTCTGTACTGGCTAACGTGAGAGCAAGGGCTCATAAGTCCCACTGAACTTAGTAGACCTCGCCTCCGAAAAAGTGTGCTGTAAGCGTATACGCTTGCAAATTTTCCCTACTCCCCGAGTACACGGGATTGTAACCGGCTAAATCCCTGTAATTTAAAATCCTCGTGCGAGAGCTGTACTCGCCAGGCGCCTGAATTGGAAACCCTTGTTCAGCGACCACTGTCTTCCCTGACCGCAAAGCTCACGAGATATATCATGCCTTCCGCCACCCTGCAAGCAGCTGCTACGGTCTTCTGTGCATCCCCACATCACATGTGAATTTATCCGCAGAAAACAAATGGACAGGAGTCTTTTGCAACACGTAACAAACTAAAAAAAAGTTCACCAAACTCATGCTCATCAGACATGGAAGTTTGCTCAGCTGGCTTCATCAGTTTCAAAAGTGTTTTTTCCTGCTGTTTTGTTTCTAAAAAAAAAAAGTAAAAGAATTTCCAGCTGACTATTGAAATGTTTATTAGTTTGTATTATGCTTTGACGGAGTATTTATATAATACTGCACAGTTTGCTTTCTTTGGGGTTGTATTTCTTTTTGCAGTTATCTGAAGTACTGTATATGAGCCAGGGTGGGCTTTAAAATCTCCTCAGGAGGCCTTTCTTTCAGTCCTGCCACCTACATAGGTAGATTTGGTGATGACAAAAAGGCCTTCCTGGTGGCTGCTCACAGATTGTGGAACTCCCTTCAGCAGGACGCTGGGTTGTTCCTCTTTCTGCTTTCCTTTCATCAACAGGCAGACCTGTTCCAACAGGCCTTTGGCCATTAACTGGCTGTTGCGACAGGGTCTTCTAAGGGTGGGTGGTGGTGTTTTGTGTGTGCACATGTGCACTTTTTAATGGTTTTGAGTGTTTTTACTGCTGTTTTTAATAGTGATAGTTCTTTATTTTTATATTTGTGTATTTTTAGTTGTATGTTTTCATTTATGCTGTGACCTACCTCTGGTCCTGCACAGGGAAAAAGGCAGGTTATCATTAAAAAAAATACTGGTTCTGCTTTGTGTATTTTCCTTGTATTTTTGTTTCTTTCTGCAGATGTAACATACTTGTTCTAACATGTTCTGACTACTATTCATGTGCATTAGAAAAAAGAAACCAAAGTCAAGCAGTTTTCTGATCACATGTATGACCCGATCCTGTACATTTGGTCATTCCCACCGAATTCCGTTGTGCTTACTCCCAAGTAACTGTGCATAGCATCACCACCTTAAAAGAACAGTTTGTGTGTTGTGTCTTTAAAAGTATGTGCATGCTTCCAAATGTTAGACAGAATTAATAGAACTGAAAGTAATGGAGGGAGGATTACTCAATAGCAAATAATTAGGTTCAGGTCAGGACAGGTTGGCATTAAATGTTAGGAGTGAAATCAGGGTAGGATTATTGTATCACAGTCCAGAAAACCTACCTGTTTCTAAAGGATATGGAGCCTGTTAGACACAGGCAGAATCTCTTGGTACAGTTGCCATTGTTTTGGACTACACTGTAGCTGCTGTTTTCACAGTAATTTGAGCTAATCTGCTGCTGCCACAGTTCTGTTAAGGGGTAGAAGCAAACTAAGCCATTTTCCCCCTGTTGATTTGGCAAATCCAGTGAAGTGATAATAGCATCGAGAAGGTGCATTTTGAAGGAAACGGTAGCAAGGGCCCTTCTGCAGGTTTCTGATACTTTTTCTTGCTAGTTATTCAAATGTGTAATACCCTCACTAGAACTTATATTGTTTGCCTTCCCTTGATGAAAATGCTATATGAACCACCCTGACATCTACAGATGAAGGGCAGTACACACATTTAATAAATAATAATAAAATACGTCAGGAGTAAGAAACCTTTACTTCCTATTGGCTACGCCAGCTGAGGTTGATGAAAAACATAGTTCAGCAACATCTGGAAGGCCAAAGGTTTGCCACCCCTGCTATAGAGACTAAATTGTAAATCAAGCGACTTGCTTTTTCATAATTAGTTTGCTTACCAGACCAAATCCCTGCTGTGATCAGATAGAGCCCTCAGCATGTAAATGTAACTCAATAGGTTCTTGCCAGAAGAGCAATATCCTAAGATAAGCAGTGCATACTAGCAGTGCTAGATGCTAAGATGAACAATGGTGCACTACAAGAAACAATGTAAGGAAGCTGTGGTCAAGATACAACATTTTTCCCAGCACAATGTGTTCAGTGCAAGAGAAACCAGGGGGGAAATGGGGGTGTAAGTCTCAATGGAACTTCACCTGTTAGTGCTACCAAATAAGGAAACACTTAAGTTGCCTTGGGAATAGGCTAAAACTAATTAATATTCTTGCATAACCAAAAGTCACTCTAACCCTATGCATGCTTCCTAAAATGTTAAGTTCCATTGTGTTAAGAGTGAGCTCAGGATCACCATATAGAATTACATGTGTGAGATGGAAAAATGATTGCTTAACTCCATATAAGGACACACTGAAATATTTTTGTACTTCATGGCAGCTTGAATTTCTATTTATCTTGAAAAAGGTTCAGTAGTTATTTACAGAATCCCAGCTGCCTTCCCAGCATAAAGCAACAGAAAACCTTTTACTTTCAGAAAGGGAGGGGGTTTCATCCACAGTGCCTGGCAACTATATTTGCAATGTACTTTTCTCCAAATAACTTCTCAAATAAATTAGGAGAGCAGGGAATTTTCTTAGTGCACAAGTCAAGGCGCTGAAACCAGATCTTGCTCCACTCGCCACACTCAGCTTCTGAACTCATTGCTATGGTGTCTGTGCCTCCTGTTTGATCCAAGAAAGACAGGAAATCCTGCCTTAGGGCTGTAATGGCCAGAATGTCTGTGATTCACCCCTAAGGCAAAACCATCAAAAATAATTGTCTGAAAGACATGCCATTCCCAGATGCTCTTGGCTTCTCAAAAGATCTGAGATCTCTGTCTAGTGTATGCCCATGGGCATTTGACCAAAACCAATGGCATTCATTTTAAAAGATCACAGCACAGTTGAACTTCTTGTATTTTTTCCCATTGTGGCTTTCACATCTGGCAGCTGCTGGGCACTAAAATACATTGAGGGGAGCTCTTTCCACAGTGGCCTTGTGGCTGTTGCAGGCAACAAACTGAACCACTAAGGACTGTGCAAGAAAGTTCACTCTAGTTCTCCGGAGTATTGTTGCAGTCCTCCCCAATTTCTGAGCAGTGCAAGATTCCAGGGGGTCCAGGCACTTACCCAGAGTTCAGTTTCCTTGGAATGAGGGGCAGAGGAGACTGTGGTGCCTTTAGGATATATGATTTATTTACATATACAATGGTACCTTAGTAGTCAAACGGCTTAGCTCCCGAACAAATCAGCTCTGAAACGCCGCAAACCCGGAAGTGAGTGTTCTGGTTTGCAGATGTTTTTCGGAAGCCGAACATCCGATGCGGCTTCCCCAACTTCCAATTCAGTGCAGGAAGCTCCTTCTTGGTGGTGGTGCCCTCCCTGTGGAATGCCCTCCCACCAGATGTCAAAGAGAACAACAACTACCAGACTTTTAGAAGACATCTGAAGGCAGCCCTGTTTAGGGAAGCTTTTAATGTTTAATGTAGTACAGTATTTCAGTATTTTTTTGGAAGCCGCCCAGAGTGGCTGGGGAAGCCCAGCCAGATGGGTGGGGTACAAATAATAAATTATTATTATATTATTATTATGGAAGCCGCACCTTGGTTTTTGAACCGTTTTGGGAGTCGAACAGACTCCCGGAATGGATTATGTTTGACAACCAAGGTACCACTGTATATACAACCTGAGCCTATGATGGAGGGGCTCACAGCATTAACACCTAAAGAGGTATAAGAGGCACTGCTTCTCCCATAGCCACAGCCTTGGATTTCCGCAAAAATCAAGCATGACTCTCACTTTCTGCCTGCTTCTAGCCCAGCTCTGACACACAACTCTACTCTGGCTGTTTTCCTCCTCACCACAAGCTAGGTGACCCATTTGCTCTCTAGCATAGAGCAGTTTCCTTTGTCAGATTTAAGGACCGCTTGGGTGATACTTGGGCCTTGCCTGGCTAATTCAACTATTATTATCATTATCATTATTATAATCTGTTCACTGCACTTCATCCGTAGATCTCAGGACAATTCACAGCATAAAAATACAATATAAAAACACAAAATACATAAGAAAAACAATATGATCCTCCATTAGATTTTAACCCTTGCTGGAGGCAGTTAGTAAGAGAGACTCAGGCATCATACAACCTAATGGGCTCCCAAAACTCACAACAGTATTTTAAAAGCTAGGACCTTTCCTTCATACACTGCAATCTGAAGTCAGTAGGATTTACTTGCTTAGGATTTCCCTATCAGACTTGTGATCCTCTAATGGTTTATTAAACCAATACAATTATTCTGGGTTAACTTTCTTTAAAAGAAGGAATCTCAACCCCATATAGGACTATAAAGAGGCAAGATCATGTATTTAGCTTAATAAGTAACTTGACCAAAAGATTTCTTTAGATAAAAGATAAATAACCAGCTTAACTCTCTCTCAGATGTGGCAAGAGGTTAACTAAAGGGAAAGCAAAGGTTAATAACCTGTTTTCCCCAGGCAACATACATGTGCTTCAGGTCTATTCTGTCATAGGGCCAGTC